GGTCCAATTATGACTCTAGCCCAAAATCTACACCAAGTCGTGACACATTGTTAATACATTTGATTTGGGTTATCAGATCCTAAAAGCCCTAATTAAGCCGACTAACAAACACATGAAGAGGAAAATGTGCTTTGGTTTGCTAATGAATCATTTCAACCAATTCTCTGCGATGTGCATGGTCTTTGGGCTTTAGATGTGGTCCTATTTGAGTTTTGTAAACATGGTGACAGATTTGTAAAGATTTTAACCTGGAGAGTTTCTTCAAATTCGCATTTCTGTGACGTGACCGAATTGAGGGTCCGGGATTAGGACGGACACTCTCACGTACTGCTTTGATATTCTCATTTGAACGACTTGTTTTTGGACGGCCAGTGTGCTTGTCGTCTCCATTGGATTCTGTCTTCCCGAATTCTTCAATTAATCTCTTTACAGTTGGCGAAATTAAAACACTGGTTGGAAACCATATTTTGTTTGAAATTTTCGAACTTTTAATAAAGTAAAATATTTAAAGTAAAATCGTAAAATAATGTATAATATAAATTATTGTATTTACATACATATTTCTCTACTAAAACAACATTTAAATACAGTGAATATTATTTAAATCCCAATATACATAATACCAAAATCCACTTATGTTTGTGCTAGACAACATATTTTTACAACCACACTACTTTATGCATACATCCACAAGGCAATTCAACTCCCAAAATCCCCAAAATATTTAAGACGACAATGTTTTGTTGATGACTCGAACGCTTAGGGCAATGTATATATGAATATGTGTGAATACATTATACATGAACTTGTGATCTTTATATAGGTAGAACAGGTTCGTTGGTTTGTTTGCAGTAGTGACATTTAGTCTGTAACTACCAGAAGGTTAATTGCAACACACATTTTATGGTCAACAGCAATCATGAAGTGTAGCATATTTTAAGGCGCATAGAAGCATGTGTCAGCGTCTAAGAGAATTTCAGGTTTGCAACTTGCAGATAAGACGAACATTTATTCGTACTTAATATTATATGTATGTACCCAAATGTATACATACTTATTTATATGTGTGACGCAATTTTTGTGAGAAATTCCTTTTTTCTTATGGGCGTTTACCAAGCAACGCCCTCAAGGGATGTTAATTTAGATGTCTACCTAAATTTAGGGCTCGTGATAAATAACTGCACATACATACATATTGTACATACATACTTCACGGTATCTGTACCCTGGTTTGTGTGCACCTCCATGCTCCGTTGCGCTTTAACCTCAATTTTGATTAACAATGTCTGCCAAATGGAGTTGTCAACAAGCGGCAGAGCGTTAAACGAAGGTGGAAAGAAAAGAAGAAGAAGAAAAAATAAGGTAGATGCCTGAAAGCACTAGCAGTAGCACACATCAATTTACGGTAATCAAAGCAGGCAAACTGTGCAAATAGCAAGTGGCAACAGCAGCAGCAGCAGCAGTATTACAATGGAATAGTGTTCTTCTTGACTCTGATGAAGAAGAGGAGTAACCTTACATTTATAACAAATTGAGGAGATTTTTAAAAACTACAGCAGCCAATTTGTATCTAACATCATCAGTGTGGTCTAGAAAAATAAAAGAAAATGCTACTTCCGATGTTCATACCCCTCCAGATTAGAGTGCTACAGTTTTAAATCCGTTATTTATTGCAGATCTGTCCATCTTGTGTTATACATTAAAAGTATTGTGTACTACTATATCTATTAGATATTTACATTTATTTGCTTTGTTGGCCTTACATTTTTCGATAATATATGTAGTACACATAATCTTGGCCATAGAGGTCAAATTTCTAGATGTTATTTTAAATGCTTCTCCATGTCGAAAAGCTGCGATCACATTCGAAGGCTAGCTAGTTTCATACTAGACCATCACACACTTATCACTAACACAATATATGGAAACTGTACATATAACTCCATTTCAATTTTCTTGCGTACTACCACCCAAAGTCGGAAAAGGAGCTGCTACGAATATACCTCACACCGTTGCGATAGACTACATCAAAGAAGAAAGTTGAGGGAGGAAATAAGAGAGACTTGCTAGACAGAAATGTGAGAATTTGAAGATCTTGAAGATTTTTAGTTCAAACCCTAATCACATTGGAACAATGATGCAATATGGTGACCGATGTTTAAATTATAGTCAATTTATGGAGAGAAATTTTATGCAGCCTGCTGAATCCAAGTGAAAGTGCAACACATGTATTGGTGAACCCTATAGAATGTTGGAAAACATGTTCCATCAAATGCCAATATAAGTCTATGACATACCTGCAACAACAATGCGCCGAGAGCCAATGAGTACAGGCTGTGATATTTAAATAAGGCGGTGAATTACTGAGAAAAAAGAGGAAGGAAATCTGAAGAGAAAGGAAACTATAATATCAAAACATCGTCCTAGTCTGAAGATTTTCTAAACTTACAGTTTGAGCAGGTCATCTTCTGCCATAAGAATCCAGAATACTATTTTGAGTTATGTAACTTATGTGCTCATGCCGAAAAGTTCTGGTTCAGAAATTGGCTTTTCTCATCAACGTTGTCTCAACCAAGCGGCATACAATCTTCCCATCGTCAATCTTATATTTCAATATAACTTAGGTAGAACGATTTATTTTGCCGGTGAATAAACCTGGGTTACTGAGATCGAAGTTTCTCACTGGTTATTTTTTCTTATATTAAAAGTGAAGTAAATGTGGGTATAGAAATTTATTTCAAAGGATGCGTATAAATATGTACAAAAAAGAAATTAAAATGATGTAATATATTTATACATAATTAGTTCTTTATACCGATGAAATGATTTTCGGCCGAGATCCTGCTCTAATTTATGGTGTGCCTCTTGATGTTTTTCAAAAAATGTAGGAGCTTACAAATTATTTAAAGCCGCCTCCGTCTGAGTAGCTGATGTTTTATGTCAGAAATACACTCGGATGGGTTTAGATTCTCTGCCAAAGAGTGACTGCAATTAGAGAATATCAAGAAATAAAATTACATAGTTGGCTTTTTGCTAAGATTAACAGGAAGACTACCCTTTTCTACATAAAGTGAACCAGGGACCGAAATATTGGAGAATATCATAATTATGTTTTAATTTACTACAAATTCGGTACAAAGTTGGCTTTCTGCTTGGCTTAGTGGGAGAATGACTGATTCGAAAAAATCGTAACTATGGTTAAATTTACTCAAAATCTTTACCTAGGCAAGGATTGACCTATTGAAAAAAAGTAGTATTTATGATTTTTAATTAGATTAGCAGGAATACTATCCTTCTCCCTGTTAAGTGGACCCAAAGCCCACGTATTCGAATATTTATTATAGTGAATATCTAGCACTCCGTGTATATTTCTGAAATGAAGATCATAGCTCTTAATAAAAGGCCAATGGCCGTTCGGAAATGGTATAGACGAAATTGAATGTAATCAGATTTGTATGAAGAACATCAAAACACAAACCACAAATTGGATGAGGAACGCTGTCGAAGAGAGTTTCAGCGGCTAAAATATCCATTTGCAGTTTAGAAAACATTTAAAATAATTATTTTGATGCAAATTATATTTTATTATGAAGTGCGGACATTGGTTTTATTTGTGAACCACTCATCACTTATCACTCAAATGACCTTCTCCCGAATTTTTGCGAACTTCCATCCATTTGAGGTAATTTTAATCCACTTTTTGGAACATATTGGGCGGTATCTTAGCAATGCCGGAGGTTTTCACGTCCTCAAAAAGTTATCTGCATTAACACATTGTTTCGGGTAGCCCAACAAAAAAGTCCAGCGATGTGAAATCATACGCCAATTGACGTCGCCAAGAGGAGAGCTTACGTAGCCGGAAAACTTCTCTGGCAATTAAACTATAAGAGATCGCGTTAATTGTCCACCCTGGAACCGCTTTCGTATTACTTCAAGGTGGCATCCCATATTTCTCGTCATGCGCTTTATATCTCCGAATCTGCGTGCAGGTCTCACTTTTTCTTGTACAGTACATTCTGATTGCCATCTTGTGCACTTGAGCGTCGTTGGTAGCGTCGTTGTATATGCAAGACGGTTCTTCTGCTTTGCCCATTTTATGTAAGTATTTCCGGAAGTAACTGTGTCCAGATAACATTCACCTCTCAGAATTTTCTATGCCATCGGTTGTACGTATCTTTTTTTCGCGCGTCTTCGGTGTCGGGATTTCCTTTTTTTCCAGTGCATCTGCGGTTTTGCTTCTATGCATGTTTGCCTGCAGGACTTTCATATCTGTGGATGGTCTTTATATGCCGCACAGTTCGTAGAGCCAGGTAGGTGATCTGTCTGTTGAATGTTTGGGTCAGAGCAGAGGCAGCAAATGCAGGTAGTCTTGCATCATATGTCCTGCTTGGCCAACCTTTATGTAGAGCCCTTGAGCTTTCCTGTACGGTCCCTGCGGTCCCATAGTAGGTGTCCTAGTACTAAATTCGTCATTATGTGCCGTAAGAAAGGGCCAGCTCTGGCACATTCGGGTATTGGGCTACACTTTTACTTACAGTAGCGATATTTTAGATGGAATGAAGAAAACAAAAATACATACACTTTACAATAATTGTCTGCCAGTGTCTTCGAAATTCCTTAAAATTTTAAGAATTGCTTCAGCAGTTTGTCGGTTATGTGGTCACATTTTAAAAACCAATTTAAACTAGTAGTGAGGTTGTGAAGTGATCCATTTTCTTTACTGTATGAGGTTTAGCCAAAAGAAACCATGTTCGCCATGACAGTTATATTTGGCAGATGTGAAAATACAGCTCTGTGCTTTTGAAACCACGAAATGGTTAACTTTAGGCGACTAAAATCCAATAGTTCCCCCGAAAATTGGGATTTTTAAAGATCCTCATCAGATGGTAGGGAAATCTCACACAAATTTCAATGGTTCAATCGATTTTTTTTCCATAATAAAAAGCACTAGATTTGTTGAGTCTTATTTATTTTAAATTTACATTAAACAATATTTCCATTTTAATTTTTTTAATACTTTATTACTACAATTGGGTTACTAAGTATTATAGCTCATTGTTAGTAATGTATTTTAGCTATAGCGGTGACTGCCAGTCTGTGATGTGTGGCAGTTTTCTCGAATCATCTTTGTTATTGTTGTAAAATAAACTTTCATAGCTTTGCGGTTGTATTAATTGGCTTTTTATATTAAATTGTTTTAATTTCTTTATGTTGTTTTTTATTTCAAAATTCTGCAACCGTGCCTTATCTGTACTCCTTTCCTGTCGCATTTTCGACTTTTTATTTCGATATTTTTGTAGTATAAAAGTTGGCAAATCGACGAGCAGAAAATAAGCCAACTCCATAGTACTAATCAAAGAGCAACCGAGAAAGAGGCCAGCAATGCCGCCAAAAGCGACTGGTTGAGGAGGATAATAAAGGATTATTAAAATGAGATATTTCATAGTAAAATATCAACACACAACTCACCCATCAAATCCACCCAACCGAATATCAAACTCGTACGATAAACCATCATTGTCTCAAAACGGAAATGTACATCTAAGTCAATATATGAGCGATTACGGTGGACTTCCGGCGATAGAAATGATGGACGCGCATCCGCCATGTAGTTGAGGGAGTAACAGTTTCGAAAACACTCACAAACCATGCCCTCATGATAGTTGCGTACATACAATTCCTCTTCCTTGCGACGGGAGTACACGAAGCGTTCTAATGGGCCCGTGTGTGTGGGGCAAATTTGAAAATAAAAGCAAGGTTGAGAGAGAATATGATAATTGAGTATAATTTGCAAACAAGTTTCGCATTAAATGTAGCATATTACCGTTATTCTTCGCCAAGCAAAGCAGATCCTTCGCCTTGCAAGCGGTATAGATACCTTGAAAAGGGGGGAATAAGTGAAGCACAATTTTTTAGTTCATTTCAAAAGGATATGAGTTAATATATGTATGTATGTAGGTGCTTTGAGTACTTCTATTGCTCTTATTATGCTGGGTGTGAGAATAAGTTGCTCTTTTGATGACTCGTACGTGCTTACCAGGTGGAAATAGCAAATCCAATGTGCAATTACAATATTTTATCAAGTGCTGTTGATGGCACTCCGATTGGCAATTTTCAATCATATAAACGTAACCATGAAGTGTGCGAAAATCCTTAGCATTCCTTTCGTCCTTTTTGTGTTTGAGATGAATATGTCCAATTTGTGGGGGAGTAGATTAAAGAGGTTAAGCAAGATTATGAAATAAATTTCAAAAGTTAACTAGATTTACCAGCTATTTAAATATAACTATTTGTACCAAAACCAGCCAAAATGACTGGTCTTTAAGAAAAAATGGTTGTTATGGATTCTAGTCTTTATTCACTTAAAAAAAGAGTTAAACAATACTGATTGTAATATATAAATTTATTTATAAACGTTTTCAATGAGCAAAACATTAAGTTGTTTGAATTTTGTTGCTCACAATTTCTTCACACACTGCGCGACAACCGATTAGTACACCCTATGGTGCTCGTCTTAGAAACTTAATATCAGTAAAATTAAAAAAAGTTTTCAAATAATTTTTTTCCCCTTAAAAGAATATTTAATTTCACATGAAAATTTATAGAAGATAGGATACTAACTTTATTAACAACATTTTAAATTAATATAAACAAACATAACATACAAAATTCACTATTATATTTGCGACAGCAGATTAGCACAGTCACTTGAAAACTTAAAATAAAAAAAAGAAAATTGATTCAAACTTCACTCAAATTGTTTTTTAATATTAATTTAAATATTTTTAACTTTTTTTGAAAACAAATTAATAATTTGTTAAGCCTCCACGGTTAAGATGACTTCGTACATCCGCTGAGGTAAGGAGTCATATAATTTTTTTATATAATTGAGTGAAACAGCCTCATAGGACCTTTTTATTCCTTCAATGAGTTCTGGTTCAGTTGAATACTGTCCGCCGGACTCGTACACCTTTCGTGCCAGCCATCCCCAAACATTTTCTATAATGTTTAGGTCGGGAGAGTATGGCGGCTGACTTGGCCGTTTCCACGTTTTGACCATCAATTCAGGACTTTACAATCCTGGCTGTGTGGTTAGGTGCGTTTCGAAAGGGAAAACTCCCCACACCATGGCACCACCCGCACGGCTGAGCAATCGATCTAAAATATGCTCTTCCTTTCTGAGATCATGAAAGTAGTAGGCATAGCCGTCAGGACCCTCCAAATTTTTCATCTGAAAAGACTACACGCTCCCACTCCTTAGTCCAGGTCATATTTGATCGACAGAAATTGAGTCGTTGCATCTTTCTAAGTTGGTTTAGAGGTGTTTTTTTTTAATTTTATATGCTTCATATATTTAGCATTCGAAATAACTCTTTGCACAGTCCGAACGCACGCTTTAACACCAGTTTTTTCCTTTATTTTGGCGGCTGAGTCGTGGGAATTAGATGCGTGTCGTAGTATGATTCGCTTGTCAGCTGCTCTTATTACTGATGATGGCCGACCTTTCATGTTTTTCCCATATGTATTCTCGTTGCTCAAATATGTGGTAATAACTTTACGGCTGCCCTTAATATTTTTTGATATTTGAAGAATAGAGTGCGCGGATTCCCTGTAAGCCTTTATTTTGCTTTTTTAGACTCGTCCAACGGTTTTCCTTTGCCCATTATTACTTTATTTTATTGATAATTAGTCCCAATGAATAAATAATAAACTTAAACACCCAATCAAGGCAGGTTACACGCAAAAAGTGACATGAAAGCGAAGATGTGCTAATCGGCTGTCGCAAAAAACATGCATGCATTTTTGTCGCACTTCAAAGAAGAAAGTAAAGCAAAATAACGGTACACTTCCAGAGCTCACAGTTATACTTAGAATGAGCGAAAATGATACAGAATAAAAGGAACAATAGAATGCGCATGAAACATATTCAGAGTAGGCAGTTATTTTCCTTCAAACTGATAGGTTAGAGAGTGTGCTAATCGGTTGTCGCGCAGTGTATGTAGATTTTTCCGAATGTAAACTTTCTAATAGACTTTTTTTTGCATTAATTGCAAATATTTGTGGTTTTATTGTTTTTGCTGTATCCTATTTGATACTATTTGAGGACAGAAGCCGCGTTTGTAGTTGGTATATCAGCTTTGTGTGATTTTTGCCGTGAAGACTGATAAGCTGAAGCAAGTTCTTCTGCTAATCGAAACAGAAAGTCTTTCCGTGAGACATTTTCTCCTGTTCTGTTTTTGTACAATATACAGCTATTGATTGCGGCTTAATCAAATTAAGTTTTATTAAAGAGTGACTTTTTATGAGCTATAGGAAAGATTTTCAAACAAAACATATAAAATTCTGAAAAATGCATGATATCTTTATTTGATGTTTGAAGATTTTTTCATTCAAATATTGACCGCGTCTCAAATGATCCATTAACTTAATCCAATTTTAGCATACGCTTTCCAACATTACGGTCAATGCGTCAATTAAAGCGGGATTGTCTGTATAGACATTAGATGCAACATGGCCCCACAAAAAATAGTCTAAAGGCGTTAAATCGCACGATCTAGGCGGCCACATGACCGGTAAAGAACGTGAATAAAATATAAAATAATTGCTCTTGCAATTTGGGCAAAAAAGAGTTTGATATCATCTCTAGGTTGCGCTCACCATTCACAGTTACGTTACGATTCGCATAATTTTTAAACAAGTACGGTCCAATGATGCCACCAGCCCATAAACCGCAAAAAAATTGTGCCTCTTTCTAGATGCACTGGTAGCTCTTCCAATGCTTCCGGCTGATCTTCACTCCAAAATCGACAATTCTGCTTATTTACGCAATCATTAAGCCAAAAATGAGCTTCAAAGGGGGGCGCGGAAGAAGTCTGCGATGAACTTTCTTAACAGAGCACACATTTTGATAATAAAATTCAATAATTTGCAAGCGTTGTTCGTTTGTAAGACGATTCGTGGCAAAATTATAGACCAAACTAAAGATGTTTGACAATGATGTAAAACACGAAGCCTGGGTCAGCTTTTTAAACCAGTGTTGCCAAAAAGATAATAACTAAAAGATCATTGTTTATAAAACGATACAGTTTCAGGTAATTTTTGCTGCTTTATAAATTTTGATTTGTTTATGTTTCGTACTCAGTATAAGTGCTTTTTTATTTGATTTGCCCTTATGAACAGTAACAGGTCTCTATCCTCCTTGTTGCCGGTAAAGTATATTTTGTAACTGTTTTTTTAACACCCGAAATTGAATTTGATATTCTGGCGAACTGGTTTCAAAGTTTGGAAAAATGAAGACGGCACTGATTTTTTAGTTCTTTTCAAATTACATTGGCCAGTTGTTAAAGTAAAAAAGAAGAATATTCACATCGAAAGGGAAGACGGTGCGCAACAAATATGTTTTATCAAGTATTTCTTTATTAAATCTTAAATATTTGAAGCTAATTAGTGAAAATGCGCCAGGACGACAAAGAAAAAGATGCTGAATGAAAACGCTTTCTTCCAAATTAACAGGGTAATTTTTTTCTCACAAACTTCTTAACAAACAACTTTTAACACTTTTTTCTACATTTTCAATGAATTCCAGACCTGAAATATGCCTACCCATTTTGGTTTTTATATTTTCTCAAACTGACAACACAAAAATAAGCAGCAGATTTTTTTTTATCTGATAACAAAATTTACAGGGTGACAGTGAACTCAGAATACAAAATAGTAATAAAATTTACTGAGTGGTAAATTTTAATACCAAAGTAAATTTTATTACCTCGACAGAATAAGCCTGTAAGTAAGTGTGCATCCATGGGATTGGTAAAACAACGTTGAGAAACGTGCCATGCTGTCGTTTTTCAGTTTGCAAGTTCTTCCTAGCAACGAAGCGTTTTTAGACTTTAATTTTAACGCCAAAGGAATACTTGTAAACAAGTTATCAGTGGTTACCCTTTATAGTTCTGGAAGTTTCATTACGACATATTCGGTTACGGGGGTTGATGCATTTCGCGTCTCGTCTTTTCTAAATAAGAAAAGCCTTCTAGCACATATTTCGTCTCTACATCAGGTGTTAACCAAAACCTTATGCCACATTTCTGAGGTTTGTTTGGCATATACTGAGTAAAGCTGCATTTAGCCTTCGATGGAAAATGTTGCTCATCCACGGTAATATAAGCTCCAGATTTGAACCAATTTTGACTGTTTTCAGTAAATTAATCCTAATTTGCTGAGACTAAAGCGAACTTGTCTGTTTGCAACCGCTGGCACCTCCGATTTCTTTTGTCGAAATGAATGTATTGGAGAATCTCAGTGAAATCTCGTCTACTCATGGTGTTGGAGGAAAATGTTGCTCCCCACTTGATGTTCCATAAATATTGAAGCCTCATAGTATTTCCGTCGTGTGCCGTTTCAAATTTTCCCTGCGTAATTGTTCATTTTTTCTCCAAAACTCGAGAGCCTTCTAGCCACAAAATATGGTTGTCAATCAGTAATAGCAATACACTACTTATATTTCCGTTAATAATGTTTATTTTCACATGTACAGTTGGCCCGTGTATATGTATCTCTGAAGACACTATGAACTGGTTATCTACCGGTAAAACCTGCTTCTTCAATTCTCATCCAAATAGTTCCGTCTGAAGCAATTTCAGTTTGTTGATTTTGCACGTTACTTCTACCTTCTTCTTGACACTATCCTGTCCTTCGTTTGTTTAAATAGAATTTCCTCATCACTACTCTATAAAATAGCACTGCTTCCATCACTGTCTTGTGGATCAATTTGTCTATCGAACAATTCACTGTCACATTATATAATTCGCTTTCCACATATGAGTATTTCAGAGAAATCCGGGTTGCATTTTCTAAATATGTAAAAATATTTACTCGTTCCGAAATTTTCCAGGGCTGACGATCGCAATAAAAATATTTTGAAACTAAGCCACTTTCTTCGTATATAGCCTTTAACTGATGAATATATTTTTTGAATAATTCCACATCACCATATGTTTTCCTTATCTCATAGAAACCTACACCGTTCATTTTGACTGGTACTGGTATAAATGTCAATAACAGAATATATGTTTCTTCCTAATATATATATATAGTAACATTAATTTCAGAAAATCTATTCTCTACTAATAGCTACAAAAATCAAAACATCATTTCGACAAACCACTGCTATATATAATAGGAATTTCGAATTGAAATTGCCCAACCAGTCAAAATGACTGGTCTGGTAAATCTGAAATACTATAATACCACATTCAATACCGAATATCGTAGTAAAGCAAATTCTGGTATTACCATCAAGTAAACGAGTGAACAGCGCTAAAGCAAAGTGTCATGCGAATAAGTTCATCGAAGAGGCATAAGGATTCTGATGGCTTATCCTATCTGATTCTCTAGGTTGCCTTGCAGGAAATTCACTGGTGCTGACTTTATACATACGATATTTTGGGAAACATCAAACATCTTAATGTAATTTATGAAATAGTGGTAATTTGATCTATACATCAATCACACAACCCAAAATTTCTAGCTACCAATGCCATCATGCTCTCGTGTAAGAACACCAACTTATAGGAATGCTATCGTCATCAGGAGCAAAGTGTACGAGTATGTCAAGCGAAAACCAAATGCAGAACCCAAACTATTGTAGTATTTATGTTCTACCACTGAAGTGAATGCTCTAGTAAGCACAATAAAAATATTTGACTTCGCTTCTGTTCTTTCACCTCTAATGTTAAGGTTTGAATTTAATCTAACTTTATTTAAACTCCTTTTTTTAATTTAAAACATTTAGTTTGTTAACTTCTTTTTCTCTTTTAGTCTATAAATTCTTTACAGGTCGTAGCTTAGCAATTTTATGGAGGGGTTTGTTTAATATTGAGCGCAATGTATTTGAAATTGTCGAAGTTTTTCTCCTAACAGGCATTTTTTCTCATTCCGGAGATTGTAACAGCACATTTAACATGATGCGAATATTAAGTAGACATCATATGGAAAGCTAACAAAAACAAAACATTAAGCCGCCAGTAAGTAGTGAAGTACCGCTGAGACTACATAATGTTTCATGGGTATATCAACCAAATACTGATAGAAATATTGCATCTTTGTCCTTGAACCATAATGCTCCTAGACTCATTGTTACTTGCGGAGCATTAAATCTAAAAAAAAAAGTCTCCAGGAAACGATCATATCCCACCAAAAATGCTAAAAGAATTGCCAAGCATTGGTCTCGTTTTTCTTGCAAAGCTTTTCAGTGCCATTTTAGTGCTAGGATAGTATGCACAAATATGGGAAAAGTCGCAGATAATTATGATAGCTAAACCAGGTAAAGAAGCAACCCTGCCGTCCATGCCATATAGACCAATCAGTCTGTTGCCTTGCCTATCCAAACTTTTCGATAAGGTACTGCTATCAAAAATTACTCCTTTTCTCTATCAAAAACATATTATTCCAACATATCAATTTGGTTTTCGGGAAAAACACGGCACAGTTAAACAAGTAAATCGTATAACAAAGGAAGAAAGGAAAGCTTTCGAATTGAGAGTGTATTGCTTAGCGGCTTTTCTTGATGTGGCGCAAGCATTTGACAAAGTGTGGTATGATGGCCTCATTCAAAATTAAAAAATCATTACCTAACATTTGCAACAATATCCTTGAATCCTACTTATCCAACAGGAGATACACAGTAAAAGTAAGTGATTACATAACAGAAGAGTATTCATTCACGACAGGTGTTCCGCAAGGTAGTGTTCTTGGACCAATATATTTCATATTGTTCACCGCAGATATTCCTACAAGTGACGAAGTAACTGCGCCAACATTTACGGATGATACTGCTATATAAGTCGACATAAATGCCAATTACAGCTACAAAAGTGTTACAGCAGCACCTTAAACTAAAGAATGGCTAGCGAAATGGCGCATAAAAGTTATCGAAAGTAAGTGCAAGCACATCCTTGTTACACTAAAGCCAAAACCAAGACCTACTGTTGAGCTCAACAATGGGTAGATACCGCAAGCTGACGATATTACATACCTCGGAGTCTACTTGGACAAGCCCTTAACCTGGAGACGACACATTGCTTCAAAAAAGCTGCAGCTTAAACTCATATGTGCCAGCTTAAACAAAATGTCTGGATTTAGCCTTAGCAACAAAGTCCTCTTATATAATGCAACAATAAAACCGATGTGGATGTATAGAATACAGTTTTGTGGCACAGATTTCGCGACGAATATAGATGTAGACTTCCGATGTCGAAGTTAAAGTAGGAGAAAAAAAAAAAACAAAAGGTTTTAAAAAATTGGCATACCTATAAAATTGATGGATTTAAATACATTTTGAAATCGTCTGATATTAACATTGTATGTGTTTCTGAGTTTTGATACTCTGCTTGGCATAGTGCTAAAATAAAATTGTGTTGACGGTGGCATAACTGTGTTTATCAAATCGTGTTTGTCCTGTAGAATTGAATGTTCATCGGAACCTTTTAGTCATATTTAATACATCTTTGTAAAAATCAAAACTAATTATATATAGAGATTTATTTTATTGAAATTCTTAGTGTTGGCTTCAATCATATTGCTATAGCCGGAGATTTTAATAGTGTCTTGCTAACTGAAAACAAGCTTTGCCAAGTAATACAAAATCTGGTAATTTTTCCGATGAATACTTCATCTGCAACACACTACACTGAAACTTGTAGAGACTCATTGTATTAATTCATTGTTAGTGAAAATTTTTTTAAATGTATACTGCGTAAAATTTTACCTTAGGTGGGAAATCCCTTAAACACCGTTTTGACCACGACTGTTTTTCCTCAATGTTGGAAGTCGGTAAATCATACCATCTGAGAAATCTTAAGTCTCTACAAATCTATCACAATAATAATATCTTCTTACCTAAAATACTTGAACGCATCACGCATGCCCAAATAAATTATTTCCTAAGTCGAAATCTGCTGGTGAATCGCTATATAACAGGAGTTGTAAGCGGTGTAGGGTAGTTTACGATGGCATCAGGTTCAACATAGACAAAAACCGAGTAACATTATTAACACTTTTGGATAATTCCAAAGCTTTTGACGCTGTGAACCATGAACTGCTGGTTTTGAATCTTAGCAATTTGTGTTATCTCCCATTGATAGCGACGTTCTTAATGAAGTCATATCAAAGCGATTGTTTGCAAGCTGTATGCCTAATTTACTAATATGATTTTCAACCGTGTGCGTTTGCAATATTATCAGTTTCCTATACAAGTGTCAAGGGCTGTTTCTGATCTCTCTCTTGTCATCCAACTTCGCTTAATAGCTGTCACAATATAACTGCCTAAACGTTACTTTCCGAAGTTTATTTTTTATTATTTAATTAATTAGCTAAAGTAAATCTCGTTTTATTGTGGACATCCTGTATAGGTCATTTACTGCTTTCAACGGAAAAGTAAAGCAAAGATTCGTATTATATACCCCCGCGCTTAGTTCCTTTTCAATTTTTCAATTCCCACTTTATTTCAATCGTTTTTGCTTTGAAATCGTTATCAAATTGTCCAAGCTCTCTTTGTCTCCAACCAGCTTTACTTACATCAAAAATGCACTCTCTCAGCTTAGAGCCCAAACCACGTGTGTTGTTATCATAGTAATACACCACCGGCTCCACCTCAATCATTGTATTTGAATTTTCCGGCACAATCATCGCATCTCTATGCCATACATTTGGCTCCGTGATCATTAGCTATGTATGTATAGAGAGAAAAATTTATATTATAGTAGCTTTTCACAAAATAAATTCCCTTTGTTACTTACATTTATACCCTTCTCATTGGTACTGTTTGGATAATGCTTTTCTGGACGAAGGTACACGCGCGCCATCAATCCACTACCCGGTCCCGCAGTACCAGTATGCCAAGGCCACAGCGAGTCAACTTTCTGCTTCTCCCTACCCTCGACCGTTTCCAGAGAATTGAAGGACCAACAAAAACCATATTTACTGCGACGCAACGAAAATATATCACAACAATTCATAGCGAAGTGATTCCACAGGCATTGACTCAAAATCTCTTCACATCGCCATGTCATTAGTCCGATAACTTCAGTAAAGTTTACATAATCCAACGAATCCACGGGGGTATTTTCTAGATTCGCGAAACTTTGAAAAGCCGCAAATTGCACATTATCATAGTCGCTAACAATGATTTCGAATAACCGCTCATTCTCTGGCGATTCATTTGGTTTGAGAAAAGTTTGTTTTGCCTCAGCCAAGCGTTGCCAATTTAATTGATTTTCCGGACAAATGGATACCACGGGAAAAGGTATATGATAGACGGGCCAACGTGTGCTATCCACCACTGTCTCGAGTCGACCCTCAGTGAAACGCTCGGAGAGCAGGTGGCTGACGTATATAGCGCCAAGTAGAGCAAGCATAACGGTCAAAAACCAAACGCAGCTGTGGCGAAAAAAGGTAAAGTTGGTTGTGGAGATATATAAAAAAAATATATATACATAATTTCCATTAGGAACATTTTTTTACTGCTACAAATTCAGTTAAGGCACTAAAATCCTTCCCTCTTCTACTCACCGTTCGTACTTTCCAGCGCGTCTGCTGAACAAACGATTTACACCATGTATTGTTGTGCTCTGTCCGAAGCGAAAGGCTAACTCCCAAGCGGAGGCGCTAAACTCTCCGGCCGCACGACGTACACTCCTCCAGGATGGCAGCTGTAGTATCATATGCGGGTTCTCTTGCACCGGTGTATTACGCGGCGAGTGGGAGAGTTGCAGCGCATTCGCTTGTGTTGCCTGAAAACGCGACGCTGGATAAACCATTTTCTCGTTGTTAATTGGTGGTCCGATGCCAACTGAAAGACCAAAAGCCAAAAGACCACAAATAGTACTTCACTTAATAACAAAGCTTATTTTATCCTTCTTCATTCATTATTTGCTTAGTAAATCGTTTGTTGACTTTACGTGTCCACGAACTATTGTTATCTCTCATTCTCCGCGTAATTTCGCTCTCTCATTGCATTACTGTCTCTTCAGGGTGCGTAGTAATTAATGATTTCTCGCCATGTGAGGTGTGTTTACTTAAACGTTAAATATTTACCGTTGTACTGTTGTCGCCGGTGTTTGTTCCATAAATATCATTATTTACAAAGATTTGCAAAATCGTTTTGAATATGAATTTGCCTTTGATTTCTGAACGCGACTTTATTTGGGTCAGGGTCTGTGGCCTACTAACGGTGCGTGTTGTGTGCCGAGTTTTACTATTATTTGCTACATACAAAAATACAATATTTACCGTTACACGTGCACGTACAACATCTGCATGAGTATTTGTTTTTTGCAGATTGAGTGCTAAATCGGTTATTTGAACAAATGAGTGGACAGTTTGCATAAAGAAGTCTACTTTAGTTATTTATTTACATGCAAGTATATACAAGAGAGTTTATATAATATAAAATTTAGACTTTATGATTTGCGAGTCGGTTTTGAGCTTAGTAAGGTTTCACAATGCGAGGCGAGTGAAGTGAAAGATAATTTAATTTAATTAAAAAATTTTAATATATATATCTAATATATACATGAAGAGATTCAGTAATTCGTGTAAGTGAAATAAAACAATTTATTTATTTTCCCAAATGCAAAAATCTTTGGTGATTTTTTTTAGAGATTTTTCTTCGTTAACCTTCTTTGATTGGTTGATTTTTTACACCCCACCAATTAATGATTTAAATATAACGCCTCAGTCGGCTGAGGAACGAGGTATCGCAGAGGCAGAGCTCCATGGCTTTCGCCCTCTCCTCTGCATATTCAACCTAGATTTTGTCGATGAATTCTCAAGGGCAGATGGCCGTCCATACATCTACAGAGATACTAACTTCCGTCTTGCTTAGTAAGATGTCCCGACAAAATTTTGTTTGTTTCTAATGCAAGACCCTTCAAAATTTTTGTATTATTTCTAGATTATCATAATAATTTCAGAAATTTAAAAAACATTTATTATCAGGGTTCTACCACTCCTCAAAGAGTTGCGAAATTGCCCCTTAAGAAGATATTTTTGTCATAAATAATTGCGAGCTTCAATCAAAATTATCGTTTAAAAACCAACTCTATGTGCACCACGAACATAATATTAACACTACATCTTAAATTTTTTGTACACAGAAACCCCACTTTATTTAGTTTTGGCAAAACTCCCCTAAAAATTTTCAACTTTTCGAACACATTCTGTTAATTGCTTATAAATAACGTTACGTTCAACGAGGTCCACAAAAAAAGTGTGTTGTCTTTATGAAAGCTTTGATGGTCGAAAATACTCTTATAAATGCAAAATTGGTCATCGTTACCATCTTTAAGGAGTTACAGAAGAGAACATTTTGATCTTAGCAGAGCCCGAAACAATTTATTTGGAACATTCTACACCACGCCATGGTACTGCCAAGAAAATATACACTTCAATTACAACATCATTAAATAGTCAATCTTGGAATTTATAATAATTGATCTGCGTTGGATGCAATGGGACTGCGCCTAATATCGGCTAGAAAGGTGGCGTAGCAGTATTCGCAAAGACTGTTACAATGGTGCTTGAGTTGCCGCTCATGCATTTATTTTTGACCTTAGAAGGTTATACTTTAGGTCCTAAGAATCTTCGGGGCCTATCGGATAGCGAATGGCAAATTGCGAAAATACAAGTATCTGTCTTTCTGCAGTAACTGGTAATTTACCGATTTACCTAACACGGTAGTCGATAAATTAAGTACAGATCGGAAGTAGCTATATGAGATGTGTCATGCCATATTAGTTGGTAAATGTTCTTTTGAGCTGGCAAACAGGCAACCTGGAGAATTATCGCACTCTAGATGGCTTACCTGTCCCAATCGCTTACTGAGAATTTATGTATGTAAAGCATTGCAAGAGCTACCAATGAATCCAAGTTTGGCACGGTTTATGGACTAGTGGCATCATTGGAACGTACTTCTTCAAAGATGATGCAAATCGTAACGTAACTGTGCATGGTGAGCGCTTCCGTGAGATCATATCAAACTTTTTTTTTCCCAAAATAAAAGAGCTTAACTGGCATGGTTTCAACAAGACGGTGCCACATGCCACACAGCATGCGTATTAATGGACTTATTGAGAAGCGAGTTCGGTGAACATTTTATTTCACGTTCGGGACCGGGCAATTGGCCACCTAGATCATTCAATTTAACGCCTTAATACTATTTTTTATTAATCCAATGCCTATGCAGACGAGCCCGCATTGGAGGACAACATTGAAGCATTTATTCGTGAGATACCGACCGAAATGTTGGAGAGAGTATGCCAAAATTGGACTAGACGGATGGACTATTTGAAACGTCGTCACGGTCAACTTATATGGACCGTACTTTCAATTCAAATGAAGAATTCATGTATATTTTCTAAATTTTAGGTTTTTTTTAACTTTCCTATTGTTTTTAAAAAATCACCATTCAGACAATTTGCGGATGCTTGCAAACTACGTCGCTAAAGTATATGTTCCAATATTTTTCTCGATTTATGCCTGAAAGGCTTCTTCTAAGGATGTTATTTGATGATAGGGATCATATTCGATTTTTGAACAATGGCAAAAGTTGTAACCTTGGAAAATGAGGACTTTCTTTTTCACAAACGAGCTGTGAAAAGATGTGTCAAATTGGTGACAGAAGCCTTACAGAGTGTAACTGACGCTGCATCGAGAGCTGGCTTTATAAGGACCAGATTGCAATCACGAGCTAAAATGCCAAATTTTGACTTCAAAAATAAGTTCGAGGAATGAAAAATATTATTTTTTAATATTAAATTTTTTTCATAATTTTTTTTCTTATTTTTATAATTTTTTTTTTCTCTTGTAAATGAGAGACCTCAAAATTTTAAACTTTCATAACTTGAAAGAACGGCAGAGACCTCAAGATGATTCTTAAATGTAATTTTTTAGCAGGTTAGGGCAAAAAAAATTTTCTCATAAATTGACGGGACACCTTATTACTTACTGCTAGTAACAGCTTGGTCTGTCTGCAATTTACGCTGCTTCACTGTATTTGAGTGGTACGCCCTAGTCTTCGTCAAGGATACTCTCTGTTAGACGGAGTTTGAAGGGTCTGAAAAGATTTGCCAGTCTTTTCGTATGACTATGGGCCACGTGATGTTCTCTCTGTTATCTTGTGGTAGTCTGTTAGTTGCAAGTTTGCATGTTCTCACTTATTTAAACTTTATGTTGAAGTATTTAGTCATGTTAGTTGTTGGCGCTTTCAGTGATTCCCACATTTTTTTCTTAGAGAACATTATCATTTAGTTCAAAACTAATTTCCTAAAGTACCACAGAAGAACCCTGCTTTTGTGCCAGCCTCATAATTAGATCCACCAACTTATAAATATATACATATTATCTTCACATTTACGGATATCCTTACCATTTACCCAAATTTCCCTGTCTGAGAAGAAGTAGATGGTTTTCACCTGGCAGAAGGCTTTGGTTTCTCGGACGCATTTTTGAGGCCGCGTTTGTTTTCTTTTCATGTGTGCTGGAAATGTAAATGACCGAGCTTCTTCTCCAATTTGCAGTATGCGGCTTTGTGTTTTAAAACAAATGGATGGACCTAAGGTTTACATTAAGCCGCCACCGAACGGATGATGGTTATTTATTTATTTATTTTTTCTGGTTTTATACTGTTTTATTGCATCTTTCCTTTTTGGAAACTAACAATAATTTCGAAAATATTAAAGCTAATTCTTATTCCTGGAACAAGTAACAAAGTAAGCACAGTACAGTAAATTACGAATATAACTTACATTTATCAAAGAATGTGCTTATATAGATATCATTAGGGATACCAAATACTCATGTTTAAAATTTAACAAAAAAATATATCGTAAAGGATAATTTGGAGTAAATTATAATATCACAAAGGATATATGCGGAGCGCAACTCCGATGTAGAATAATTGGATGCGTCAGAGCCCTTAGTCACAGTTCAAACCTAAATCTTTTCTCCTTAATCGCTTTGGGTAGTTTTGCTGTAATAATTTTTTACCTAGAAAGTTTGGGTGGTTAGATAGCCTCACGGAGTTATTTTTAAGTAGTTTCTTTATTTCCTCGTTGGCGGTTTTAATCCCGAGATCGTTGTGAATATTGGAGTTTTTCACATACCAATGGGCGTTGCTTATTGATATCAAGGTTTTAGACTGCAGCTTTTAAATTCTATCTAGCCTAGATTTAGATGCTGAGCCCCAAATTTAGATCCCGTACGTTCAAGATGGCTTAATAAGCCTATTTAAAAGTGAAACTTTGTTTTCTAGACTAAGTTAGGACTTAGAACCTACAATCCAATGCAAGTACGCAGTTTGAGCTTCCAGGTGAGTATTTTATCCCATGTAACTCCCAGGTAGGTAACAAATTCTTTCTGAGGTATTGTATTCCTATTAATAGAGATTGAAGGACAAGTATCTTTTTTTTAGGTAAATGTTACTTGCATACACTTAGACTCATTGACATTAATTCCCCAAGTTGTTAGCCACTCGTCTATTACTATTAAATGTTCTTGTAATCTGTAAGTGGCTGTCGCGGGGTTTGAATGGACACTAAGTATTGCCGTATCATCCGCAAAAGTTGATGTGATGAGGTTTCGGTTTGTGGGAGATCGTTCGTATAAATTAAATATAAGACGGGCCCTAAAACACTTCCTTGTGGAACACCAGCAAATATTTCATAGGATGCAGTGATGTTTTTTTTTTGCCTAACAAGAAATTTTCTGCCAATAAGAAAGTTTTCTAAGACATCATGCGTACCTTTCAGCTCTCATAATAGATCTTAACGTGCTACGATTCTATGCACCTGCTCTATTGTGCTGTGTTTTTCTCTAAATCCGAATTGGTGGCTTGGTGTGGTCTGTTTCTATTCTAAAATTGGTAATGTTTTTTTAATAAAAGTTTATCGAAGATTTTAAGAATACCGTAATTAAGCTAATAGGCCTGTAAGAAGAACCCAATTATTCATGTGAAAAATACACTCGGAAAGCTGAAATTCTTTGCCGAGGGGTGACCGCAATTAGAAAAAAAAGATTTCTATAATTTTGGACGTTGGACTCAAACCCTGGTCTTCAGAATGCCTCTATGCATTGCTAAATAATTGCGGGCGTATAATTGCATAAACATTTTTTGTGATTGAAGCCCTCCTTTTGGTATAAACGCCTTTTGGAGGTGTTCCATCCAGCTGAGTTTTTTTTTTTTTTTACTAAATGCACTGAATAAGTTGGAAAACATTTTTATATTACCTCGAAGAGATGGTGGATTAAAATGCTGATCATTTCTTTATCTCGTAAAGAGGCGGATGATTTTTCCGAGTTCTCAGAGCGTAATTTTTACAATCTGTTAAGATTTAAAGTGAGCGCTCTATAACCCGTTATAGACGATGTTCGTATGCTTTCCGCTATGAGTATTTTGAGTATACGGTTTATCAAGTCATGAGTATCCTCACTTCCTCTAATAATTCGAATACGCGGTGGAATGGTTTCTGGAACCGTTATTTACGTTCCATCACCTCTTCGTCTACGAACATTTTTCTTGGGAGCAATACCTATGCACGACCTCGGGCAATAAATTCTGTCAAAGCTATTCAAAACATGAACTGGAAGAACAGAATAGATGGAAGAAAGCTTTTGTTCGGCTAACTGCACTCTCACATCAACTTTGTGATTGGATATTACTCAGTTTAATGGAGTCTGCCTATTAGTTTTTAAGTATACCGAAATGAAATATTGACAAAGTGTTAAATGTTGGATTGAATTGAATGGGTGACAAGTAAGAAAGAAAGAGAAAGCACGTTGACTAGAAAGCAGGCGATTTCCTGTAATTATTTCTTAGAATACAAGACACGATTTTCAAAAGTGGGTGATTTCCACAGACAGTTAACACTCAGTATTTTTTAGACCGTAAAGACTCTTTTATTTCCTACTTGCTACTTTTATATTTTTAGCAAGTGAGTCTATCAACTGCACTAAAAGCAAAGATAACACTTTGAGTAAAGATATAATGGGTCGCTCAAGAGAAAATAAACCAAATAAACCAAAGATGGTTAGACTAAACTATGAAAACTGTCATAAGATTTGTCTACAAGAGCTGGAAGCTTACGGGAAAGAAACGAGCGTACATGGCTTAAAGCGTATGCTTACCAATGGAGCTGGGCGTATGGAACGGTAGGTACTTCACTTATTCATTCCGGGTAAGCTATAACACATTTACTCGATCTCAGTGCACTCTGGACAATCGGCTTCCTATGCGCACTCTGTCTGCTCATCTACTTCAGTCAATATCTGGCCAATCGCTACGCACATAGCAAATTCAAAACTACCATTTACTCAACCAACTATCCAGTATATAAGGTACCCTTTCCCGAGGTGACTATTTGCAATAAGAATCGCCTAAACTGGGATCGCTTAGAGTCTGTTAAGCAGCAATTTTTGTGGCCTGCACACCACAACACTTCATTTGAACAGCTGTTCGTGGAGATTGTTGCCATGTACGATACCTTGGCATTTGGCACATTCGATCGTTTCGCCAATTTGACGGGCAAACCCATAGCGGACCTCAATTACATCAATTTTACCGAAGTTGCGCGACGTATGACGTGGCGCTGCGAGGAGCTGTTAACAGACTGTGTTTGGCGTAATCTTCATATGAACTGTTGTGACATTTTTATACGTCGTCGCTCGAGTTTAGGTATCTGCTTGGCGTTCAACTCTGTGGAGGCTGCAAGTGGACAATTGAAACAAAAAATGGATAAAAGGTGGCCGTGGCGTGTGAGTGTAGGTGGAGCAAGGAATGGTTTGCTGGTGCGTACGCTGTTGAACAAGGCGAAGCATTCACCATTTACCAATACGCCGAAGGGGATTTTAGTGAGTTTCACGAAAATTATATGAGATTATATGTATCTTTTAGTCTTGTACTCGTTAACCCGACAGATGATGACAGTGCAGCCAAAGGTATGGAGCGATACACCCATCGACATACCATATAATGTGCACGCACGTGTCTACCTTGATGCGCTTATGAGTTTCTACGACCCAGAAACAAGGCGAGTATCATCTAAAACGAGAGAATGCGTTTTTAAGGTATGAAATAAAAAAGTATTGCACTGATTTACAAGTTATGGTATACTTCAGATTTCCCCATTTTCAGGACGAGACAGATAGTCCGGATTTCAAGACACTCAAGGACCATGAATATATGTTTGAGAATTGTCAAGCTGAATGTCGACAGGAGTATCTCATACGTTTTTGTAACTGTACTGTGGATATGTTTTTCCCAATTGGCGCTTATCGGATATGTAAACTGGTCGACTTGCCGTGTTTAGCACGACATAATCGTGTGTAGTGAAATGATATAAAAAAATAATGCTCAAGGTTTTTTTTTTGTCTGTAGATCTTCTTCAATACTTCGAGGATTCGGCGCATGAGGACTTCACTCGTAGTCATCCTGGGCTTGTTTGTAACTGTTTCTTTAACTGTCGTTCGTGGAGTTATAGCATAAAAGTGCACACTCGAGATCTTCAGCCTTACGAGCTTTGGGAGACTAATGACACTTTGCTGTTGGACGTAAACTTTTCGAGAGATTATATAACAGTTTACAAGACGGACCTGGTGTACACTTGGGTTGATTTGCTATGTAAGTATAAAAAAGTAGCATAAATAAGTAATAGAGTTTATTATTGTTTTGGATTGTTCCAGTCAACTTCGGCAACATTACTGCGCTCTTTCTAGGCTGTTCGATCATCAGCATCGTGGAATTGGTGTATTTCTTTCTCGTTAAGGTACCACAACGCCGCTTGCTTCGACAATTCGACAATTCCAAATTTAATGAAAATATGCAGTTCCGCAGGCCGGCCTTGCGTTCGTATAGATTACGCAGTGAAAAAAATTTGCATCTTTATAAAAATGGATTTAGGAAAATTGAGTATTGAAAGCGATTTAGAGCTGAGCTGAGATTTGGAGATAACAAAAATAGGTTTCCTGTTGAATTTACTATTTTTTGTTTGATATAATTTGTGTTGAAAGTTGCGGGTGCCTAAAATTGAGTTTGGCTTGAGAGCTTTGAGTTTTAGTTTGAGATTTAAATTCCTCTCTTAGCTTGAGCTTAAGTTTAAGTTCGGGATTGAACTTGACTTTTATTTCGAGCTTGGATGTTGTTAAGAATAAAGTGTTCTTTTAGAGATAATTTTAGTGTTTTTAACACATTATATGTAGATGTTTATGCGAATTGTGTATTGTAATCTTTAAGTGTATTGTATTTGAGTGTATTTGATTATAATTAAGTTTTCATGTTTCCTTTTAAATTTTCGTTTCAATTTAATAAGGGATATGAGAGACTTTAATCTTCAATTTAAATTCGTGCCAGTGCCTAATTTCGAAATCAAATTTTTACCTGAATTTGTATTAAATCAAAACGAGAGTTATGTTTTGAGTGCGACTCTGGTTTGGTTCTTAAACTGCATCCTATCGGAACGTATATTTCATTTATTGTGATCATTGGTTTTAATTGGAGCTTGAGTATAATTGCAGACCTTGCTTTGATTTTACTGATAGGGAAATTCTGACTACTTATTTAGCTTCGGCTGAAATGGGAGATTTAAGACCCGACCGTAAGCGGCAGCAACTACAACTGTGATCAAAATAATAGCAGTGCCAAGTATTGAAAAACTCAAGTGAAATATAGAAATGCTTTTCGAAATAATTTTTACGATTATTTTAATTCCAAACTTACTTCATTTATTGCAGAATATAATATAATAATTTATTTTTGAATCGTTTGATTTACTTAAAATTAAGGTAAAATAGGTAACATTTCACCAAAATTGGCAAGGAAAAACTTTTTCTTCCGAGCAGTATACGCGGGACCGAAGAAATCTAATTTGGAAATTTTTTTCTTCCCGAAAGTGGCTATAACCGCATTAGACAAGGATGCATAGAATTCATAAGATTTTGGCATTTTCCAACTCTGAATACGGTTGAAGTCAACAGATTGTGCTGGTCTCTACTTTATACGCAGAAACCACTATTTCGGATCGTTGTTTGCTGGTTTACTCACCTTATTGGCATCTCTTCTCTGACATAAAGCAATATCATAATTTGGAATAAGAGTATTGTGCCTTATTTTTGGTATATGTGACATGCACCGTAATATGAAAAGCAAATCCAATTCATTATGTTCGATCCGTAAGCTTGAAAGACCTTGTATAATGAATTGTTGTTACTTTTCATTTAAAGTGTTTTGAGGGTCATTTCCAGTATTGTGTACCCTTACTGCCAAAATAGATATTTTGACCTTTGTCGAACCGAAGTATATTGGCCACTTTTCAGATGGCCATTATAAATGCTCTTTCACGAAAATCAATATGTGCACATTGTGACACTTTTTCTTTAACGGTACCGTTCGTTGAGTCCTACCATTCAAATTATTTTCTCCTAACCTTCTTTTAATAGTTATTGCACTTTTTTTTATTCTCAGTTCTGTCTTCAGTTTCACAGGTAAGGATTTTTTTGACTATGCCGTACCAATCGAGAAATAAAGTACTACGTGAAGGCATAGCGGGACTTCCACGAGCTTTCGTTTCGTTCCTAAATTTCAACACATTTGATTTCACTTCTGTTGGAAAACCTTTCATATTTTGAATATCTTTTCAAATTTCACTTTCTAAAGAAATATTTTTTGGATCAGTTCACGGTTTTCCTGTGAATAATGTTTAGCTCGACCCACTAGAAATAAAAAATCAGTTGTCGTCGATTTTTAGTATCACCAAGTTACTTGTAATAAAATTGGTTTCCTTAAAAAGACTTTTAGTGAAACGTACGTACTTAACACGTTAACATCCTGCGAAAGTCTGCTCTTGTTTTGACTTCACATTAACAAAGCTAGTCTTTTGAAAATAATTTAAAGTAAATTAAAATAATTTAAACAATTGTCGTAAATTATGCAGAAAAAATTGCAACGTAGTTACTTTGAACAGTCTAATGGTAACGGTATTTCGTAACATTCTGAAATTTTTTTTCTTATTCTTTCACATATTTTCACATTTATGTTTTATCACGAAGCACTGCTATTATTTTGATCGCACTTGTATGTTATTCAGTAGATTCATTATGCTGGCCTGAGTATTCTAAATGTGCCTTCGTGAAAGATGTGAGAAATTGTGTGTAAATTGATTTCAACCCGGAAGCTTTTATTCATACCTTTGTCGGTGGTAGGGCGGTCATTCGTAAAGGTAGTACTTTAAGATTTCGTTCTATACTATGCACCATTCTTTTTGATCTAGTTTACGAAGATGAAATTTCACAGGTACATATCCTGTTAGTATATAAACATACATTGTAAGCTCTCTTTACCAAGCTCCAGGATCTTATGCCTCTAAAGATCATTATTTAAGGCAAGTTTTAAAGGCATTGAATTATCTTAGGCAGCCACTGAAAATAGTGAGACTAAATAGCAGTTGAAGTACACTGTCTTCTACATTTATGTCAGCTGCTTTCTTTCATGTTCTCAAATATTTGGGATGCTTATTGTTTAATGACTGTTTTGTTGCCTACGGGAAACCTAAGGGATTTTTTTTTAAAGTGGTTGCCATTTAGTACCTTTAGTAATTAACACAATACCTGCTTGGTAGTTAAAATTGTATTGCGATGGTCACAGAGTAGAACCCTGTTAGGGAAGAAATGTGTGGTTTCCACCCACCAATAATTTCGTTCCCGTTGCAAGATACGTTTAGCCTGAGTTTTACCTCAACTCTTTGTATGTTGTCATGCCTTTTAGAGTTAGTGGACGGCAGTTCATAGCTTTTAAGTTTCGCGCTATTAGCGCTGCTTCATACAACATTTATGCATATATCAATTGGTCTTATATCGAGGAAGATGTTATCCTTTAATGGCTTAAATGAGATAGGTTTCATCGCTCTTTTATGTTTTTTTCATTATTTTATTGTTTTATTTTCGAGTTAATAAAGTTTGAGACTCAGACTCAGTTTATCTGATCCGAACTTAATTTTAATTCCATTCTCAACTGGGCTTATTTTTATTTAATTTTTAGAAAATCACTTCAATGACATAATAAGTGCCTTATTTGAATTTTAAGTAACTTTTCTTTTCTATTTAATTTTTTTTTATATAATTACGTATTTTTGCTTTTCACACTAACCCATAATGTAGCTGCCGCGTCGTAAGTGTCCTAATTACTTGCGTGTCACTTATTCACTGTCTAGTGAAAATATTTTGCAAGCATTAATGTAATGTGTGAAAATCTATGTAAGCTTTGTTGCCGCACGTGTTGGTAATTATAATATATACTACACATTACTATGTACCAATATAGAAAAATCGCAACAAAAAATTGTATTGCATTGTATGTGTCAAAAGGGCTTATATTAAATGTGCAATGTTATCGCAAAAATTTTAAACTCCATCAAATGTCAATTAAGGGTGCATAAATATGCAAAGAACCCATAAAAAATTTGAATAGGAATAGAGTGGTTGACTGTTAGCAATAGTAAAAGGCAGCTGGTACTTATGTATGCACATTTGTAGGCACGTGCAGTTGTCAACATATTAGCACAAGGTCAGTCAGTGGCAGGCGTATGCGTGCTGGGTATAAAAATCATGCAAAACTCTGTTCTCCAACGCCAATAAATCCTTAACAAAAACCATTCGAGTTAACGTAGGCAAATTAGAAACAACTCTTACTGAGTAACAAAACTCAGTATTCGATGCAAATCACATAGTGCAAAGTACATTTGGAAAATTTTAAAAAATTTTCACTGTTTGTGCGTATAAAAAAATCATTGAAATGTTATCACCTAAAATTTTTAAATCTCGCCGTAATTCAAAACTGGAGCTGAAAGCCAAAAACCTGGTCTCAGTTCCTAGACCAAGCGTTGTGGATGCGAAGCCCAGTGAGAATGAATGCAAGGTATTAGTGAATTTGGTACAGGAGTTCGGACAGGAGACTACATTTCATGGCATGAATGTCATGCTCTCGCCAGGAGCGGGAAGATTCGAACGGTAAGTGTGTACTCGGCTAAGCCAAGTGGTAATATTTGGTTGAAAAATTAAAAAATATGGCTGACCTAACAGTTCGTAACTATTCGATGGTCATTGTTATATGCGCTGAAGTGATGACTACTAAAGAATTTTTCATCGTGTGAAAACGGTGATTTCCCAAAAATATGTAAAATACCTATTTTTTCTTTAAATTCGAAAACTACTAAGAACAATACCGCTGTATAGGACTTTTCTCGGAAGATCGGTTACAAGGTATTGAAAAAGAGTGAAAATCGGTTTTTTTTAATTCAAAATATTCTCCAGCGGCTTGATTTTTAATATCGTTTCTTTAGGTATACTTTTCAGGGAGAAAAAAATCTCATACATATATATATATAAATATATATATATCTCGTAAATATATATATATATATATATATATATATATATATATATATATTAATGTATGTACAGGGTGCTCCTTCTTTTATGTCGGGGTATGTAAACATTGAATAACTTGGAGAAAAAACAAATGATTTCTATAAGTGATGTATATTTATTCAGTTTGGTTCCTTACAGTTTTTTGGACAAGTTTTTTAAAACAATATCAAGCAAGTGGCTACCTTTATTTGGAAAGGGTTATCCCTTTCGTGGCTTCGAAAGTACATTGCTATATTTTGACAACTTTTGAACTTAATTACTAGATCAAACATATTCTGTTTGAGCTAGAAGTCTGGCACCTAACAACCTCACCATGCGTTTAAATTATTAAATTTTAATACAAACCTAATGACCCCTAATCGAAAAACTCAAAACCATATCGATAATGTTATGAGAGAGGGAAGACATGTCTCCACTATACTTGACTTGCCTATACTCCGATGACCCAATATCCGCACGGATCACTATATTTTGCAGCGAAGATAAGGTTGCGCCCCTGTGTATCGAGGAACGCGCATCAACAAGCACAAGGAAAGTTCGACGTAGAAAACACAACAGACTGCCGAACGATTTTCGACTCGAATTGCATCTTGCTCTCTGAAAGCACTCATCAGCAACTCGATATACGGGAACTGTGGGGCGGCATTTCTAGTACCCTACGTACGCCTGCAAACGAAACTATTAGATTTCGGAAAGCTCACAAAAACAGCTGGTACGATGAGTACTGCCGTGTCGCAGTGGAGAGAAAACAGACTGCCTACCTCGCAACCTTGCGATCGACCACAACACGTGCGGGATGGGATAGATACCGAGAACTGAAGAGGGAAGCAAGACGCATCTGCAGACATAAAAAAGAAAAAGGCCGTGATGCATGAGTATGAAAAGCTTGATTCTATGAAAAGAAACGACGACTTTCAGAAGGTTTCAAGACAATGAGCAGACTCTTGTAGGACACAAAAAGGTGATTTATAAAGCGATGTCCAAAGTATTTTGAATTTATGGAGGGAATGGCGGGGAGAATGGAATACCCGGACTTGATGAACCGGAAACCACAATCAATGATGATGGAAAAAACGTTCCATTGCTTGATCATGAAGAAGTTCGAATAGCAAGCACCCGCTTACGAAACAAAATGCGGCTGGAGCTGACGGCCTATCGGCAGAGCTATTCAAACATGGCGCAGCTGACAAGGTGCATACATCAGCTACTTTGCAGAATATGGTCGGCGCCAATTATCGTGGGATATATATATATATATATATATCTAATTGGAGCTTGAAAATCGGTTAAGCGATTTTCGCCTGAGCTCCTCCTCCAATTTGTGGTTTTGCGTTTTGATGTTTCCTCCAACAAATGGAGAGACCTACAGTTTATACTAAGCCAGCGACGAGTGGTGACCGCAGTTAGAAAAGTTAGCTTTAGTTTTTTATTGAAGATGGTAATGCCTATAAGGTCCTGTCGAGTTTGTGTGAAAGCCCATAGTCAGCAAGCTGATTGGGCCTTACCAGTGTGAAGAGAGGATCGATGCCCACCACCTCTTCGTCGATTTTAAATCTGCCTTCGAAAACACGAATAGAAGCTGCCTTTACGCTGCTTTGTCTGAATTTGGTATCTACGGAAAACTTCTACGGTTATGTAAACTGATGCTAGGCAACACCGCAAAGGCAGTCAGAATTGGGAAGGACCTCTCCGAGCCGTTCCATACCAAACAAGGTTTTAGTCATTTTATCATGTGATTTCTTCAATTCGATGCCGGAGAGAATAAAACGAGCTGCAGAGCTGAATAAAGAAGGTACAATATTCTATAAAAGTTGACAGTTGCTGGCGTACGCCGATGATATCTTCATTATTGGCCTCAACAACCGCGCCGTTAATTCCGCTTTCTTCAAACTGGATAAGGAAGCGAAGGACATGGGTCTGGTATTAAACGAGGGAAAGACGAAATATCTCCTGTCGTCGCACCAGAATTAACACCAACAACAATGACAGCCTGGAAATACAACGCAGAATCATTCTTGCCAACAGGTGCTACTTCAGATTGAGTAGGCAATTGAAGAGTAAAGCCTTCTTCCGACGAACGAAAACCAAACTCTACAAGTCCCTCATCGTTCCCGTCCTGCTTTATGGCGAGGGAGAAAGTACAATGACATAATCTGATAAGTCGGCATGAAGAGTTTTCAAGGGAAAGGTTCCTCTACAAGTTTGTAACGTTAAAAGTTTTCGATGCAGTACCCACTGGCGGAAGAAGAGGAAGAGTGAGACCTCCACTTCGTTGGAAAAAACATGTAGAGAGGGACCTGGCTGTAGTTGATATTTCCAATTGGCGCCAAGCTGCGATTGAAGAGAAGAAATAGTGTGATGATATAAATTCGGATAATATCGCTTAAGTGGGGTCTACGCCAGTAAAGTAAGTAAGTAAGTATCAATTCCTCTACGTTCCAAAGAGCTGGGGTTTCCTTAGGTCACATTTTGGTTTATTTTGCGATTGAACATTTGCACCTATACACGTGGGCATATGAAGTCCAGCTCATCGCTGATCCATTCACAACACCATTGGGTGTGTGTACAACAAACAGTGGACGGCAATTTTATTTCTTCAGCGACGAGGCACATTTCTCACTCGAGGGATATATAAATAATGAAAACTATGACATTTCGGGCTTTTACATTAAAGCCAAAAACATGCCACACTGTCTAGCTCACATATTTTGGCATTTACTTGAAAAGACGGTTAACTTTAAAGCGACACGTTGCAGCTGAAACTTAAATTTTCCTGTTTTTATTGCATTTTAAGTATGGCCTCTGGACTCAGCCCTGAAAAAATGCAACAATAAAATCGAAATGGATGTGTGGACATCTAGTTATGGGGTCATAGCTTGCGCGACGAACTTGGCCGGAAACATGGAGAGTAATTACGGGCGCTCCATGGTACATGCGCGATGAAAGTATCCATAGAGAGCTAAATATGCGCACAATCAAAGAAGAGGAAATGGTTACAAATAACACTAGTAAAATTGCACAATCATCCGAACCCTTGGGCTAGCACCTTGGCCTCCGCAACAAGTTAAACGCGCCTAAATCGAATGGACTTACTACCCTTATAAAGAGACCAACACTGATCCAGCAGCCCATTTCTAGCCAATGGATTAATATATTTTAATTTAGTTTTTAAGATTTGATAATTTTTGATGTTTCTGATATCGAAGCAAATTCAATAAATGAAAACTAATGATACTAAAAAAATTATAGACACCGAGAATTCTCAAATAATCGAAGGGACGCCATTACACCCAAAAAAAAACCTTACTATTTGGTGGGTTTATTGTTCAGGAGGAGTGGTCTTACCTTACTTTAATGAATACGACAACAGCTATACTGTCACTGTCGATTCGGAGCATTGTGGTTATAGGATAATCGACTACACTAACTGTAATTGAAGAATGCCACTTGGACGATACGCAGTTTTAACAGAATAGTGCCACGAGGCTTTATTGCGAGAAAATTTTCCCGGATGCAAATTTGGCCACCGAGATCGTGCGATTTGACACTGTTATACTTTTTTGTGAGGCTGTTCGACAATTACCTCAACCAGATCGATATTTGCAAAAATTCGCGAGGTTTTCATTTGAATGATGTAGTGCTTCAAATAAATCCACAAGGTTCAAACTTAAATGAATAATTTGGATGTCATGAAAAAAATTATATTAAATATATTCTATTAATTATATTTAATGTATTTTATATTTGTTTATTTTTGAAATCGGAAAATAGACAGCCCTGTGTATAATATTGAAGATTTATAAAGATTGCAGCGATTTTTGGCCGATCTCCCAATTTTTACAGGGTGCGCCATCTGTTGCGAATGCATTTGAAACTTAAATATTATTACCGCTTTTATTGTATATATGCCCTTTTCGTGCAATTTGCTTTACATTTCTAAGTGCCTCAGCGGCTAAGTTATGCCCCGCCCAAATCAGCATCAAAAAATTGCGGAACTATTAAGTTTGAAAAGCTATCGCAGCATATGGAACACCCTGAATTTGATAAACAACCACATTATAACGATTTCTGATCAGAAACTGGCGGAAAGATAAGCTTTTAATTTAGCAGACTCTTGTGTCCAGCGGTTCCCTCTTTTTAAAATCAAATAAATGATACCGTCATCGTCTAGAAGAGATGCTGATAAATCACCTACATGAATATATTGAAGATATCAGTAGAGAAGTTTATAACATTAAATTGAAAGTTATATTTTAGTACATGCAACCCCTAACCTTTCTTTCAGTGTCCTCAGCACAATTGCTTTCATAGTCGCTTTAATACTTCTCGTCTGTGTATGCCTCTTTCTCGCCTCTCGCTTTTCGAAACGACAATTCAAGACAGTCGTCGAAGACACACACTTTCCATTGTACAAGGTTAAGTTTCCCGAAGTGACGATCTGCAATAAAAATCGGCTCAATTGGTCGCGGCTGCAGGAGGCCAAAGCCAAGTTTCTGTTGCCAGCACATCGTAATACCTCGAAAGAGGAACTCTTCACCGAAATTATTGGACTCTATGATACTTTCACCTTCGGCAGATTCGATCGTTTTGAAACGTTGGGGAAAGCACCGTTACATGAATTGAATTATGTTAATTTCACCGCCGTGGCACGCTTTATGGCTTGGCGTTGTTGGGAGCTACTCACGAATTGTCAGTGGCGGAGCCATGTGCATAAATGTTGTGACATCTTCATGGAGCGACGTTCCCAATTGGGGTTCTGCTTGGCGTTTAATACTATTGAGGTGCCCAAACATTATATCAACGATTCAACTTGGCCGTGGCGCACAGATAAAGGTGGACGCAGTTCTGGGTTACGTCTCAAAGTTGTGATGAATGAACAACAACATTTGACGGGTGGCATTGATGGTGTAACGGTGATGATTGTCGAACCAAATGTTTGGTATTATATACCCATTGATATACCGGGCCAAACAAGAACACGCTTAACCCTGGATGCTTTCCTTAATAAATACGATGAAGAAACGAGACGTGTGTCATCCAGCGTGAGAGGCTGTGTATTCAAGGTGATTATAGCGATTTTATATTACATTCTGATGATAATGAATAAATTGTAAGGCTCATTGTTTGTTACAATTTTTGAAACCTACATTTATGAAATTGTCGACAGAATAAAGCAATTAATTATTTTGGAAAATTTTTTTAAAAGTTACAATTTTGAAATTGAAATACTTTTATCTTCAAGTTTCTTTCTCTTCAATTTTAAATTTCCAATATTTTTTGTGACTTTATCTCCACACTTTTTATTGCTCTATTCCTCATTTAATTTTATACTTACATCTGTGTGTGTCGCTGTATAAAAACAGGTATTTAAGAAAAAAACTCCTATATTTTTTTTGTATATTAATATTACAATTATTGATTTTATATCATAAATTTAGTTTTTTAAGGAATATTTGTCTGAAATATCATTTTAAAATAATACAATACCTCATACTTCATTGTTCATTAGACTTAAGAAATTAGCAACACTTTCAAATTTTTGGCATCTTTATTTTGAGAGCTTCACACCTGAGATTGTAGTCATTCCCCCTTGTAAAAAATTAAAATTTCCCAACCCGTTACATCTCTCCTCAAAAACTTATTTAACATTAAGCCATATTTTTAAACAGTTGGCAGCACTGCTCGAAAAGTCATTATCTTGCTGGAATATGGCGCCCATGAATGTGACATGTCACACACTTCTAGGCTCCCGCACAAATCTTGTTGAAGGCTATCACCATATTGGTTGGCATCCATTCGTCCGGTAATCCTTACACACTTTTCAGCGCCCTCAAGTCTCATGCATCCCCACATTATTACATTATCCTCTTTAACGTTGGCTGAACAATGCCGCTAGTCAAAGGTTCACGAGGTTTTCTCCAAATCTATTGCGTCCATCTTTCCATTTCAATTTTATATGTATATCTTTGCGAATTGTAGCATCAAATTAGAGTGTCACTGTTCCAAGATTTTTTTTACTTTGACACGTCCGTACAATCCGTTGTTCTGCAATTTCTTGCTGATAGATTCCTTTGATATATTTATTTCCTCACCATGGTATAGGTCACACCTGATTTGGCCCGTATTTTTATACACCCCAAACTTCAGCTGCTTAACAGTGCGCCTTTCCAGTGGGGTGTTCATTGCCTTTCGACCAGGCTTGTTTTTTTTTTTTGCAAAAGGCTTTATAACTTTCTTATTTTTAAAACCACGCCCACAGAAACACAACGAGTCTTGGAACTCCTCTGTGTTCTATGTTCAAATCAATAAGTCTATTGATTGCTTCTATTTTTGTTGCTTAGTTTTTTCCTCGATGCTGATGCCAAATTTAAGAAAATAAAAAAAAGAAATTGAAAATCCTTTTAATTTACCAAAACTTGATGTTAACGATTAATTATAGAATAAAAAGGAAAACTTGAACAGCGAAGCAATATTACGCCGACAAATTGTTCTCTACTTCACGAAGCCAACTTATTGACCACACGTCCTCATCTACATTTGTAAATATTCTCTATTTAGTGAACGTATCTTTCTCATTCAAAAGTCCATTTTAACAAAGATAGAACGAAATACAGTATTTGGTAATGGTCTGTCACGAAATAGTTGACATATGATATGTATAACCAGCACTTTTTAACCGCTCAAGCCATGTAGGCTTCTAACTTGCCTCTCTTTCCAAACGCCAAGCTTCCCATAAATCTTCTGAATAATAGTTCAAATAAATAAGCTGTATAAACTTGGACGAACTCGGTGTAGGCATTTTCAATTTATAGTCTAACAAACTTATTTTTATGTATTGGACAAGAGATGCGACGCCCTATTTCTGAATTCAGAAAAACTTAACATCAACCATCTGCAATAACCCAGAATATAATAACCAAAATACGGGCAAACTTTTTATAAATCATCTGCACGATAACTTTAGAGCGGTTTCGGTGGAGCGGCTCTGAAGTTATTACATTTTCTTTTCCTCCAGTTTTTTATTATATTTTTGTTAAATTGGAGGCTTTCTTTACCAAAGTTGCATTTAACCGTTTTATGCTCGATACCTATTTACGATTTGGAAGGTAATGCCATCACGCTTCTCTTAGGGAAACCCTTTTCCATATTGGCTGCAGACTTCTCTTGAGTACAATTCCTCAGCTGCCAATCATTCGCTATAGACAGGAACAACCGATAACCACTTGATGCGAGGTCAGAAATATTAAGTGAATCCTTAAAAACCCTCTAACCAGCTCTCAGAGCTTTTGGCGAGTCACTATTGATGTTTGTGATTTGGTATTATCCTTACGATATACAATTCCTCTCTGTTGCCCCAAGCTGGGTGATTATGGCAATTTCTGGCTTCAGGTGTCCCAACAGCTAACTGTACTGGGCAGCTTACCGTGGCTGATGCCTTGCTAATCACACCGAACACACTACGAAACTGTCATAGGCGTTTATTTTGGCTTGGATACCGCGTGCCGGCTCAATGCCCTTTCGACAACGACCGTTTTTATTGGCTGCAAGTGATCCACTTTAATCAGCAGTCACCATCCATTTAAAAATTGGTCGATTTTATTACGATTCAGCAACGATTCGCAGAAATCGGAAATTCGGATACTCGGTTCACGAGGTTTTTTCTTGTAAACTCCTGTGGCACACATACAATGATATTCTATGTGTATCCAGTCTTTTTGAAGTGAGTCCAAAATGTTTGCTGTATAATATTTAGCACTTGGACGGTAGGGTAATTGAAACAGTGCTCGCATGAGGATCAAACTCGACAATTTCCATTATTTTATCGACATTTTCGATAATTGGAATTCAAGTCATGGAGTAAGTATCGTGCATGATGGACTGTTGTCAGTATCAGTACTATAAGCAATATTCACATTTTGACATGCGATTTCGCCTTTATCGTAGTTGCTGGTGCACTACTGAGTGAAGTGATCAGCATTTTTCCATAATCTGTTTTATTTCAAAATATCATCTTTCTAATGCCAGCTAGCGTAATCCAATCACACTGATAGAACACAAGATACAAATCACAAGTCTATCGAAATCTCCCTCAGGATCCTCGAACGATTTTTAATGCTTCAATTCTATAATTTTCACCTTCAGATTTGAATTAGCATACTCATAAATTTTATTTTTTAATATGTTAAAGGTTGCAACACTCTTCGTAAACTTTTCGTAATACTCTACTTTGATTCACATATTTTTATATTTAATAATATAGGAATAGTTTTCAAAAGCCTTTGCGCTCTAACCATTTCTTTAATATATTCAGCTTTCTGACCGTAGGGTGTCGTTTATTAACTAAATAAATAATTTGATGATAACGCAATTCAAAATAAGCCTTAGTAACAACGGTACACTCAATATATTTTTTAAATCTCTTTATCGATAACCATATAACATATACACGTACATCTATTATTATCGATTATTATCCATTATTTTGAATTGAAATTTCTGAGTAACTGGCGACGCACTTACTCCATTGTGCACTAACCCAGGCAGAACATTTTTTGTTCATTTTTTCTACGACATACATAAGGCCATCAGAAAGGTTGACCACTCAAAGTTGGGCAATCTTGAGTTGAAATTTTAGTGTTTGAAAATATTTTAACTGGTGGCTGTACAAAAATGTCTATTGAAAATATATTTGTCAACTAAAAGTGGCTATTTTTTACACGTGATACTCATATATTAATGGAATTAATCCCTTTCGAGGATATTTGAGTTTAGAAACTGTAAGCGTACGAACTTCTTACAAAAAGTTTAACTTTTTGGAAAAACTAACTATTTTGTTTTGATCATAACTGTTTTTGCTCATTGCAGATCATCGAAACACTTCAGATCCATGAGGTGTGAGCTTTTATTAAGCAAATTACATCATACTTATCTCCATTGTCCTGCATTATAATGAGATATTTCACATTGAACTTACCTCTTCAGACCAAATTTAGCTAAAATTGTAAAATTGTTTGGCAAACTTTTTCAAATTTCCTTAGTAGTCTTTGAACTAATTGCAATTATATAATATATATTTGGCGCTGATGAAGCGATTTTTGACCCAGTTCCTTATACAAATTCCTGGTATGCGTCTTGATGTTGTATCTAACAAATCCGAACATTCTGGTGGTTTTTTATAAGGAGCTTTATTAGTTCATGTCAGAAATACACTCAGAGAGCTTGATTTTCCTTGCGGGGGGAGACCTCAATTACAAAAATTAATTTTGGATGTTGGTCGAACCAGGACTCGAAACCTGGACTCCCAAACAGCAGTACTTGTCTGTTGCGACCAATACAGTATAAAATGATCTCTGCTTACCAAAATATGTCCAAAACTAACGGAGCTTGCGTCAGACAGACGGACAGCCGGTATAAATATTGCTGGGTCTTTTCCTTCTAATTAAAATAAAAACCATAAAAGAATTTAATCGGTAAGCTTTATTGGAAAATAAAATAAATTCATATTCATTTTACTAAAACTTTTGCAAGAAAAATATCCATCTTCACTGAAGAAATCCGGAAAATTTAAGTTACCATAAAAAAGTTTTCACATCTCAAGAGCTTTCAAAAGTATAGTATTTTGTATGTAAAATGAGAAGAAAACTTTAATGTTTAAAATTTGAATTTTCATTTGAATAAGAAGATTTGTAAGAATTAGGGTGCCAGCCACAGTAGTAAATATAAAAATTTGCAAGGGATTCGATTCCTTGATTAAATTTAAATCCATTGACCAAATTAGAAGTGTCATCAAAAATATGGACACTACAGCATAAAATAAGCAACGCGCGTTTTTTAAGCATTTTTACCACATTGTGCGACACTGCTAAAAATATTTTCTTATTAAGCCTCTCTTTATTTTCTTCAGTTTGATATCAATATTACAGATATATGCACGTATACGTCTAGATATATACATATATGTGCATACATTGTTTTAAATTAATTAAATTATTATAATTATTTTTTTACGATACCTCCTCTCAAGAGGGAGTTGGCAAAGCGAGGATTATCGACAACTGGAAATAAGGCAGAGCTGCAATCAAGACTGCGAGAAGCAATGGAAGTTGAAGGACATTGACAAGGAAGAGGCTGATAATTCTGTGAAGAAGTTGGATTCGCCAACAAGTAAGATTCAAGAAAAGGCTCCTGGCTTATCTAAGGGTATGGACATGAACATGTTATTGACTGCGATCTCACAAAATATGTCTGAAATGAGATCCAGCATCTCACAAAAGATGGATGCACAGGAAGCCAGCATTTCACAAAAGATGGATGCACAAATGCTTGAACAGAGAGAGCAGATATCATCCTTGGAAGGAACAATAGAGCAAATACAGCAAAATCTGGTGACGAACAACGCGGAACTTAAGGAAAGGCAAGATCTAATTGAGATCGAAGTCAACGCATTGAAAAGTCGTTACCGGAAATTGCAACTAAATCGTCCAACCGCTTCAGTAAACGCTCCCATTTCAATTTCCAATTTGAGAAGATAGCTAAAACAAACCACTGGAGCATAGAGGAAAAATCCGCTGCACTATTCGATGCGTTGGAAGGACCTTTTGCAAACCATATCCGTCAACGAGTGGAATGACTATGACGGATTGATGCAAGCCTTGGAAAGACGCTATGGTAGCGAACACAGAAGATAGATTTACCAGATGGAGTTAGAAAGGCGCGACCAAAAATCCAACGAATCTCTGCAGGAATATGCTTCGGAAGTTGAGAGATTGGCTCATTTAGCCATTGGAGACACATCGGGTGAAGATCTTGAAAGGGTGAAGATACAAAGGTTCATCAGCGGAATAAAAGACGTGTACACCAAGCGAGAGACATATGCGAATCCAAAGTTGGCATTCGCTGAAACTGTTGCGTATGCACAAACACGGGAAATGGCGGCACTCATAAGCAGACCATCATGCAAAGTCAATAAAGTGGAGGTTGAAACACCAGTGATGACGGAAATATTGAGAACTCTGAAATCGCTAGAAGAGATGTGTCGTTCTGGTTTCAAGACTCAAGCGGGAAAATGCTTTAAATTTGGAAAGCCTGGCCACTTCGGACGCGAATGCAAAACAAATTTCAGTAGACAAGAGGGACAGCGAAAACGGAAGGCAGAGGAAGATGAACCATCAACTTCTCAAAGTTATGACTTCACAATCGAGCACCGCAAGGGGAATACGCACGGAAATGCTGACGCTATGTCCCGTCGACCATGTAATATAGATTGTAAACATTGCTCAAAAGCTGAGGGTAAAGAAGACATTATAGACGTCCGGCTAATGAAAGTTACGCAAGCAGAAGGGTGGGAGGCAAGTAACTTAAGGAAATGTCAGGAAGAAGATCCAGATTTAAAATTACTAATGCACGGGTTGGAAGTAAATAGATGGCTGCGGAAAGTCCTATCGCGAAGGCATACTGGGCACAGTGGAACAGTTTAGAGCTGATATCCGGCTGTTTGCATAGAGTATGGGAAAATGAAGATGGCCAGTGTTCCCGGGAGCTAATAGTAGTTCCGAAGTTCAGAATTCCGGATGTTCTTATGGAATTCCATAACGGTCCTAGTGGAGGGCACCTAGGCATTACAAAAACGCTGGAAAAGATCAAGCAGCGGTTCTATTGGCTGTCGGCAATCGGTAGCAAAGTGTATTGCTAATTGCAAGGAGTGCATAGCAGCTAAAGGCCCAAAGTCCCGAAGTCATGGGCAGATGAAGCAGTATAACGCAGGGGCACCATTTGAGCGGGTGGCCATGGATGTAACAGGTCCATTCCCTATGAGCAAACAAGGAAACAAATACGTTCTTGGGGTAAATGGCCTGAAGTTTACCCAATCCCAAACCAAGAAGCAAAAACCGTTGCGGATGCATTCACTAACAATTCGGTTACCAGATACGGTGCGCCCATAGAATTGCACTCAGATCAGGGAAAAGCTTTGAATCGGCGGTGTTCCAGGAGATGTGTCAAATACTTGATATTCGAAAAACCCGAACGACAGCCCTACATCCTCAATCAGATGGTATGGGAGAACGATTCTATCGGACCCTGGAAGAGCCCTTGCGGAAAGTAGTGGACAAGCATCAGGATGATTGGGATGTGCATATTCCGTTTTCTCTTTATGGGATAGCGGTCCGCATGTAACTACAGAATTAGTACTTCATATTTTATATGGTGAATTACATAGGAAAAAGCTGGCACACGTCATACGATACAATTCTCAGCATAATTTGGAGCGTTTTTTTAGCTGAATAAAACCGATTTATTGCGTCGTTTGATAACTAGAGATGGGACTTGGATTCACCACCATTATTTCCATGATTCTAATTTGAAATAAGAACATGTAAAGTGGAATGAAGCTTTTTTGTTCAGCTCCAAAACAGGTGAAGTCACAACGATCAGCAAAAATTGTTATGCCATAATTTTTTGGGAAGCAAACGGAATTTTTCATCTGCACAAAGGTAAAACAAACCAATTTGAATATTATAGCAGCATTATGGATTAGCTGAATGAATAAATTCGTGGGAAAAGACTTGGTTTGCAGCACAAAAAATCGTTTTTCATTTTAGCGACTACTATCTCTTCAGAAATCTGAAAGCGTTTTTAGTCGAATGAAGAAGCTATTATAGCCGCCGACGAGTATTTTAAAAAGCTTTCAGGATGTCATTATAGGAATGGCATCAAGTATTTGGAGGAGTATAGAATATGTATTGAAGTTAACGGAGGTTATATTAGATACAAATATTTTGTACCAATAACAGAGCGCAGAAACTTTTCAACCAACCTGTATTTGAATTGTACCCCTATATATAGAAGTGCTCGAAGAAAAATAAATCATCTTAATAACAGCCTAAGTACGCCATTTAAATTTGTTTTAATTCAGTGTAGTCTTTTTTAAGTTTCAAGGTAATCACATATACCTTAACTTATTTTTTATATAAGGTGTTTAGTATATATAATATTTTATTTTTACTAATATTGTTTATTTCCATTTTTACTTCCCCTAATAGGATGAACAAAATAGCGATGATTTTAAAACTCTTCATGGCCATAGATATCGTTTCGAAAACTGTCAAGCTCAATGTCAACAGGAGCATCTCAAGAAGTATTGTAACTGTACGCTGGATATTTTTTATCCTCCTAGTCCTTTTCCACAATGTCAACTCGTTGATTTGCCGTGCCTAGCGAAGTATAATAGTTGAGTTGCACTTTTGAGTTATTTTCGAGCATATTTAAATCTCTAGCTTAATTTCATAGACTACCTTATCAACTTCGAGATACCAGGCCAAGAGAAATATATGATCAACAAATATCCTGGTATTGTTTGTAGCTGCTTTGTGAGCTGTGATTCGTTGCGCTATTTAATTGCGATTAAAACGAGACCACTTACACCGGCGGAAGCTGTAGCCAATAGATCAGTGGTCGACTTGGAGGTATATTTTGACCGAGATTTTATAATAAAATATCGAACAAGTTTAATATTCACTTGGGTGGATTTAATAGGTAAGCAAAAAATAAAGAGATATTTATAAAATAATTTCAGAACTGTTCAAAATACATATTTAAAAATGTAAAATAGTTAAAAAAGTGAAAAGAGTTTGTAATTCTGTTTTCAGTTTCCTTTGGCGGCACGACTGGGTTATTTCTGGGCTGTTCGTTAATTAGTTTGGTTGAACTTGTGTACTTTTTCTTTATCAAAGCACCACGTCGCATAAGAATGGAGCATGAGCGACCACTTCAGTTGAAACGGAGACCGTCTAAGGTCGAGCAGAGCAAAATTAAATTGCAGGAATACCGTGAAATGTATAAACTACAGCAAAAATATTAAGAGGAGATATTTATGAGCATAAAAAATTATCAAATTATCAAATTATTAAAATATAACGTGTATGTTGCGAATCATTTCCCTTAAATTATTTACAGAAGCTAAGCTTTTAGTACGTTCATCCTATACTAAAGTCGGATTGCCGCTGATTAAAAGTTGAGTTATTTGGAGGACTAAAAAATTATCACTTAAGGCATGCTTTAGAGGCTGGAAGAAATGTATTATTTATTTCTTAAATTAAAATTATCCAAGAAAATATCTTCAAACTTTCAGTGACCAATTCGGCATATTTTAGAAGCTAGAGTAGTTTTAATGGCCGAGCGTAGAGTAAGCTCGAGGGCTCGGGCTGAGCCTTGGAGCGTCTTTGCTCCAGTTTTCACAAGTAATAGAAAACGTTGCCGGTGATACTATTAAATTATCTTTTGTTTGAACTGAACAAGTCGAACACAAGTACTTTTAAACTATTTTTTTTTTTGCAATTGAAATTCCAACTATTTTGGTGTTTATTATTCATAAAAAATTTAGGTTTGACTATTTTAGATGCATCGCACTACCTTCATTGACCAACAACGTTTCACAAGTGCGGCCGCTTCAGTTGACTCATCAGAACATTGGAAACTTTCAATATTTTTAATACGAAAAATTGTCTTTTTAAGCTTAAATATAGTAAATTACTGTCTAAAAATTTCGTTTACCGCAAAAACTGTCCTTATTTTTTGATTTCTGAAAAACGCTTTTATCGGGCTCTTCTGGAGATGACTGCCTTAAGTGCTTGCAAAGTTTATTAATGGCGCTCTTGTGGATTTTGATTGGGCCTAATTATTTTGAAGTTTAATACGACCAGACCCATTTGATTTGTTTTAATTATCTGGACTGAGGAAAGCAGAATTAGCGTCACGTTCTTTGAGACACAGCAATTTCAAATAGATGAAATCGAACAAAGTTAACGCCCACCTTCCATATAACGGTAATTTTAGAGAGTTCGAAAATCAAGTTAATTCAGTAGCCATTTAGTCATTTCTGTTAGAGATGTTTACATTTGGTGAAAACATATGAGAGGAGGAAAAAAATTCGGATGACCGTAGTAGGAACACCTACGACTTAGCTTCATATACGGACTTTTTACTGTTGGTTGGCTAGAAACCCATCTAATGACCCTACATATGGTAGTACTCACTGCCAGTTAATCGGATAATACGACTGTCAGGTATGCTACTTTTAATTAGGAATAAAGTCTCAGTAAAGTGGCTGACGTAGGTCCATAAATATTCCTGCCTTCCATATCACATATCTTCCACATACCAATCAGTGTCGATCATCTAATGTTGGATTTCACCCGCACTTAGTCTTCATTCCTATTTTAAATCAATCAGGAAGTTAACTCAATTCCGGTCATCCATTAGATGGCAAGTTAAAGTGAGAAGAAAAATATTTGAATAGTTCTGCCAGTAGGCCGTCAGCTTCAGCCGTTTTGTTGTTCTTTAAGCGGGCAATCGTTATTCCAGCCTCGACATGGTCGAGTAATGGTACGTCTTTTCTATCGTCATCGATCTTGTTTGCGGGTTCACCCTCTCCGGATGTTGTATTCCCTCTGCCATTCTGCAGGCTGGAGAAGTGTTCCCTCCATAGATTCAGTATTCTCAGTCATCCGTCCCTCTGGGTTCTTCAAGGGTTTGCTCCGGTCTTAAAACCTTCTGTAAGTCGCAGTATCTTTTCATAGGATTTTCGGGTTCATATCCTGGTTAAGTTAAATTTTCTTATTGCGTTCGCCCCTCGGCAGGGCATGTCAACCCTTCCGAATGCATTTCTGACATGAAATAAAGCCCCTCATAAAAACAACCATTAGCCGTTCATAGGCGGCTTGGTATACACAGTAGGTATCTCTATTTGTTGGAAAAACATCAATACATAAAGCAACAAATTGGGGGAGGAGTTTCGCTTCAGCGGTTACAAAGCACCATCTATCTATATATATACCCTTAACGGCCAACGGTTTTCGTCTGCAAATACGTCGTGCTTTTCTCTTCAGCTCTTTGTATCTATCCCACACCACACATGTTTTGGTCGATCGGTATATGCCACTGTCTAGCCCAGCTGGTTTATGTCCTCGAAAGAATAAATCTTGACATCATTGCGGCACAAGAAGTGCGACGCACGAGACAAGGGCAGAGGAAGGCGGGTCCTTGTGAAATTTACTACAGCGGTCACATAGGAGAGCTCACATTTGGTGTTGAATTTGGGATAGGACGGAAATTCATTCAGGTGGATGAACTGTTAGCCACAATCCGCACCAAACAAAACATTCTTATTCTCCGATGAGAGACCAATAATGGTATTTTGGGTACAACAATCAAGATGTTCATCCTCCGTGACGAAACGTCCCAAAAACTTAAAGCTTTTGGGCAGTTCGATTGGCAATGAGAACCGAAAGATCGATATCACGCTTTGTTGATATTGGTATCATATTAAACATGGCAGAAGAAACAGGTATATTCCGGAGGGCAATCGAGATATGTGAAAATCTAAAAAATCGAAAAATAGAAAGTTTAACACTGTAGGTTATTAATTAATTAAATTGAAAAAACATGTAAACAGCTGTGCTCCTGCAGGAACCTTATTCTTGTGCCTTGCGAAGTTTTGGAATCAGCGCATCAATTAACTGCCGAGAAATAAATACAAAAATATGAATTCGCATATTCGGAATTTCAACATAATAATTATTGCAAAAACTAGTAATCGTGCTGAACTGGTGGAAAAAGTCCGGAAAATCAATGGTATCGATGCAAATTTTACTACGAGAATGTTGGCTGAGGAATTGCATACGTGTAAAAACACTATTTTGAGAATTTTAACTGAAGATTTTGAAAAAATAAAGGTCTGCGCGCGATTCGTTCCACATGAATTAAATGACGACCAAAAAAACGCTCGAATTTTTAATGAATAAAGGGATTTTTCTCATCGACCATCCTCCGTATTCGCCTGATCTATCACCACGGGACTATTTTTTATTTCCAAACTTGAAAACCAAATGAAGGGCGCATTTTATGATGATATCCCAGCCATTCAAGCAGCTGTAACCGAGGTACTGAAGAAAAATTCTATAAATGACATAAAAAAATCTATGCATGCGCTGGTTGATCGTTCCAAACGTAGTGTTGAGTCGAATGGAACCGATTTTGAATAAATAATAACATTCAAAGATATTATAATGTGTATTTAATTTTATATCGAAAAAGTTCGGTTATTTTTGGGACACACCGTGTACATGTTTATATGTACATATATCCGAAAAACTTTTACAAAACAGCTTAAAGGCAAATAAACTCTAGGACTTCGGAAAACGCGTTTTTTTAGCTCACAGACTCATTGGTTTCAAAGTGATAATGATATTATATTTCAAATAGCTGAACTTTCTATTTTGCTGCAGTCCCTCGGGGCGTGCGCTGAGTTCAATGAAAACTTTAAACGAGTTTTTCCCAAAATCACATTTTTCAAACTTGGATTGTTCAGACCCTATTGCATCGATTTATTTGAAATTTTGATGTATTTTTTTAATAAAAAATCAATCTTTTTGAAAAGTGTGCTGCTTTTAAAAAAATTTGATAAAAAATAAAACCGTACGTAGATCAGCAGATCAGAAAACTTTTTGCTTTTCTGTTCTAGGTCTCATCTTAAAGAAGGAATCAGTTATTACCGTGGACGAATTTCCAAAAAAAAAAAACTCGGACTAAATAATGAACTTAGTCACCGTTATTTAGTAACAGAATAATAATTATAGAATATTTTTTATTTTTCGATGCATGTTCAATGAAATGGCTTGTACTTAATGGAATCTCTATTCCTTTTCCCATTTTCCTACAACTTCTAGAGTAGCTTTACCCCTTAGCGGGGTAAGATTCATTTTTCTAAAATAGAAAAGTTTCAAGTCATATAAGCTCTGCCAAATATATGCCTAAGTGTTTATTTTTGTACATATACACATACGAAGTGTGTTCAAAAAGTATCGCGAATTTTGGATTTTCGCGGGTTACGTATAATCGAATTTGGATTTTTTTGTGGCGTTGTGTTGGTACTCATGTCTGTCACTTATGCCGATAAGCTCGGCCATATTGAGTGTTCACTTAATTGTTGACAGCTACTTTGCTTGCACATGTTTTCGTTGGTCTTCGATTTTTACCTATTCAAAAAAAAATGGATCAAAGAACCTGTACCAAATTTTGTGTGAAAAACGAAATTGAGTGCGCGGATGCATTCCGAATGTTGACTATTGCATACGGAGAAGCTACCTTGGACCGAAGCAACGTTTATCGGTGGTACAAAATGTTCTCAGAAGACCGAGAAGATGTGAACGACGAGGAGCGTGCCGGACGCCCTCGGGAATATTACCTGCAAGTTATGCGCAATTTGCGCAAAGCAATCCGCCAGAAATGCCCGGATCTGTGGAAGAACTTGCAACACGATAACGCCCCTGCTCACACATCGTTGCTTGTGCACGACTTTTTGGCCAAAAACAACACACTAATGATGCCGCAGCCACCGTATTCCCCAGATCTGGCCCCCTGTGACTTTTTCTTGTTCCCTAAACTTAAGAGGCCTATGAAAGGACGACGTTACGCTACGATTGACGAAATAAAGACTGCATCGAAGGAGGAGCTGAACAAATGTATAATATCTCATGGGGATTACTTTGAAGGGGACAAAATAGATATTATTGAATAAAAACAATAATTTTTGAAAAATCAAAAAATTCGCGATATTTTTGAACACACCTCGTATTTAATTTATTGTAAAGAAGTTGTATTGCCTGAATATTAGGAGGTTCTGATAGTGATTGCCTACTTGAAGAACAAAAAACCGGCTTGAGATGGTTGCTTACCGGCTGAGCTTTTTACACAATGCGGTGAAGAGCTGAAAATATACATATTGGTGCTTTGTAACCGCTGAAGCGATTTTGGGCCGAGCTCCTCCTCCAATTTGTGGTTTTGCGTCTTGATGTTTTCTCCAACAAACCTACAGGGACCAACAGTTTATACTAAGCCGTCGTGTTTTATGAGGAGGAACTTTATTTCATGTCAGAAATACACTCGGAGGGTTTGAAATTCCCTGCAGGGGGTCGACCGCCTTACTGCCTTACGGATTCTCGGCTACCGCGGCCGACAAAGTGCATACATTAGCTTATTTGCAGAATGTGGTCGGACCAAAGCATGACCGACGATTGGAACTTAAATGTGCACTACATCAATGCAGAAAATCAGAAATCTTGGGTTAAAACAAAAATTGCACCAAAATGAATCACAAATATCTGCTCCATTTAATTAAAATTGTTTGAAAGTAAACATTAGCAATTCTCAGAACGTTTTGCTCCAAAAATCAATCCTAAAAACTATCTATTTCGGACTGCTCTCGAACTTGTCTCCGACTAGTACGTATACATTGTATATATGAACACCTTTTTTGAGTTCTTGCACAGGAGTAGATCCACATTTGTGAGCCGTGCATTGGCTCATTTATTTTTATACATTCACATTCATGCATTCTTAAAATAAATGCATGTATGTACATATGTATGAAGCACATGTGTCGTCAATCAACAAAGTTGCGCGTGTGTATTGTATAAGCATACCTAGTTACACTAAGTCCATATGTATGAACAGTGGCTCGCAGCCAAAGTGATGCAGCTGTGTAAGAAATAGTATAAAAAGTTTTATTTGAAAATTATATAAATTTTAATAAAAATAATAATGCCAGTTTCACATTTCATTTATGCTTTAAAAATTAATATTTAGTAGGATACCCCTTGCTGTCTATGACTGCTTTCATACGTTTGGGCATGGATGTCATTAACTTATTTGTGTAGTCATGAGCAATATTGTTCCATTCTCTTCGCAGGGCTTTTTCAAAGTTGGTTTGAGTTTGAATCTCATATTTTCGAATCTCTCGTTCTAAAACTGACCAAAGATTCTCAATCACACTCAAGTCTGGACACTGTGCTGGGGTTTGTACTATGTGCGGACAGTTCCAAATAAGCCAACTTCGCACAACGCCTGATTTGTGTTTCGGATCATCATCTTGACAGTACCGAAACTTGTCACGAGTGTTTAATTTGCGAAAAATTTCATATTAAAATTTCGAAGTACACAGTCTTATCAATAATACTATTGATGAAATACAAATTTCAACAGTCAAAATCGTCGACAAGGCGTCGCCCCTAACAGTAAATCTTTGTGCATCATTTTCGCTGTGAGGTAAAAATTAATACTGAAGTTTGTTTTTGTTGTAAATTACATTAAATAAACATAAAACATAAATTTTTTTAAATCATTTGCCACTATTAACTGACATTTATATTTTCTCACCTAGCGGCATCACTTTAGCTGTGAGCTACTGTATATACTTAAAGGTAACCGATTAAAAAAACGTGTGAATGACCGCCTCCTTGTTGTTTTTGTTTTTGTGATTGCTGAATGCACAATCAAATTTGAATCAAAATTAAATATTTTTGTATTACAAATATTCATGTTTACAATAAATTAAATATCACATGTCAACATACAGAATAAACACTCGAGCTTTATACACACATGCGGATGTGTGTGTGTGTTCATGTAAACTTGATTTCACGCTCTATATTGCTCCCAACTCTTCCAGTTTGAGTTGTTTGTAAAATATTAACCGTTGACAATGCATTTGTAAATAAATAAAGAACAGCAACACTATATGTATGCACGTACATATACATATACATACATATGTAAGAGTATAAATACATTTTTGAGTATTCCCCATGCAACTTGTGGGTGTTTATATGAAAATTGTCATTTCGCGGTGAACGCAAATATCTAACGGTAATATGTAATTTACCTCAATCAAACATTTCTATTTTACGCGCTATATAAAAAGGCTTGAAGACGCGAGAGAGCATTAAAGTGAAGTGAAAGTGCATGGCGGAAAAGACAATTATTTTGAGGAGAATAATATAAAACTCAAGAAACTAAAAATTGTAACAAATAAAAATTATTATTGAGTTGTTCTTGCTATTAATTTAAATAGTTTTAACAATAAATATTATAACTATAAATGATGTTAGCCGAAGAGATTGCTTCGAATCGCCGTTTAACTCGGATTCAACCTCGTGCAAATTTGATAACCTTTGAAATGCGTCAGCAAAAACGCATGAAAACTGCTAAATCACATAGAGATGTGAAAATTGTCAAAGAATTAATTGCTGACTTTGGACAGTATACTGGAATACATGGCTTGAATAGAACATTCGCAATGAATGTGAGCATTTTACAGCGGTAAGCGGTGGCGCAAGTCGGAATGGGATGGGAATTTGTTATGCCAAAAGAAAAAACTGTAAATATTGCGTTATTGATTTTATGTTATGACCTAGGAATATAATATACTTAAGCATGTAACACCTCATACTCTATATAACTCGCTTACATTTAGGCAGTAGGTTTTGCTTCCCGCTGTTCGATGTACTTATGCTTATAAGCATGCAACGTGTAAGTGTAATTATCAGGTGGACAGTGAATCAATAAACGGGGGTACACACTAGAAGGCTTGCATTATTGAATTTCAAGATATTTGCCAGCACCAATAACGACGCCAGTTCCTAATTGCTGTAAGCTTGAATATCAAAACCGCTTGAATCACCCCTCGCCTCACAAATTTTGAAGAGCCGAAGTGCTCAAATAAATTCCCCTCGGCACAAAAGGAATGGACACCCCGCAACAAATACAATTTCTCACCCGAAGCTCTCCGCAAGTTCAGCCAACAAATTCATCGTTTAAAAGGAGGAAATGGTCATCCTGCACCACCTGTAAATTTTTCCTATGGAGTTCACCTGCGAATTTCTTAAAGAGACGAACGGCTTGATATTATTTGATATTGTAGGAATCTACTTTAACCTTTTAAAACCGGCTATTTTCAACTTTCCAATTTTTATGATATTGGATTTTCAGTTTTACATATTTTCATTTTTTTGACCACTTATGAAAATATTTTTAATTCCGAAAACAAAATGCAGACAGAGAGCCCCATTTTTAAGTATTTGCAAATTGGAGAAAATTAGTTCTTTTTTCAGTTAAAATTAGTATTAATTTAACATAACAGATAATCAAATGAAGTGAAAATAGTTGAAAGTTTGTCCTTCTATGTAGCATTTTTGGGAATTAAAAATGATTTTATAAGTAGTCAAAAAAAAGTCTTAAAGTTGAACTATATTGCTGTGCCAATATTTAAGTTCATCACTGTACATTTATATATTTATAGAGCTAAACCGTGCTCTATAGACATCATCCCCTCAACTAAATATCCTCGCTCTCCTACCCCCAAGTTTAAACAAATTGAAAATGTAACTTCCATGCGTTGCTCAGAAATTTACTGCAAACGTAGCAACGAGCCCAATCCTGGTCACTTTAAATTAAAATTAAAAGAAAAACCCCACCATTACTAAACATAAACTCCCAAACAACTCTCAAGACAGCCGTTTCTATGCACCGGAGTTCACCCTTTCGGCGACATAACACCTCCCTGCTGGGTTGCTCCAAATCCTTCTCATCAGGGCAGGCGTCGAAACCAATCCTGGTCCGACGGATTATTTCTGCTGCGTGTACCAAGAAAGACTCCACCACTCCTCCATTTCAGTTAGGTGCAACCAGTGCAATGGTTGGTGTCACCTTAAGCTCTGCTCAGGCTGCCAGCGCCCAAGCACCTTTACGCACTTTGGGTAACCAACAGACCTCTACGGTCTCAAGACGCTCCCCGTAGCATGAATTCCACCAATACCGATCTCTACCCACAACCAGCTCATCTTCCTCCTCCTATGCGAGGTGGGTACTGCATGGAAATCTATTCTCACCCATCCAGACCACAGCGTAGGCGCTGTCCTATCTCATTCCATCGTCTGCGTTCTTCGCCGTTCCCTTGCAGCGGACCATACATCTTATACAAAATCTTTCCCTCGAAATCTCTTAGCACCGACTCAAGGTTTAGCGAATAAAGAGACAGCGGCAACAATAGCTAGGTCATGTCGTCTGAATGGATGAAAGCATTCCAACTTTAAAAATATTGGATGCACAGGAAGACGAAGACCTTCACTCCTTTGGAAAGATTGGGTGGAGATGAGCCTGACTTAATTGTATATTTCCAATTGGCGCCAAAAAGCTTTCAGGGCCGTATCCTTTTTATGAAAATTTTCATCATCAAATCGCAAAGTGGCTGCTTTATGCCATCAACAGCTACACGACCTCTATCTTTGAGTCTTGATTGATTCGACGTTAGCTTGTTCGCGGACCTTTCAATGTAACTGTTACTCCAGACTCATTTTCGAAAAAGTAAGGTTCAATTACCCGGCCGTACCGTAAACCACACCAAAACAGTTAGACGCTTAGGATGGAGAGGATTTTCAACAACAAATCTAGGGTTTTCCAAGCCACAGATGAGTGTTTTGCTTATTGACGTAGCCTGACGAAGTGCAAATGAGCCTCATTAGTTAAGATGATTTTTCGATGAAATTCTGGAACATGTTCATGCGTTTAAAGGATCCAATCAGCAAAGATGTTGTTGATGATCGGCCGGCTGGAGATGTTGTGTCAACTTTATAATAACCAAGACTTTATGCGCAATACAGTATAATGACGTTTGTAGGATGCGCATTTCTAAAGAACGAAGAGATAAACCTTGCTTTGGGCTACAGCAGCAATATTCTCAGTTGTTCTTGACCAACGTGCTCATGTCTTATTCTGCACATCACTAGCTTGTCCCAGTAGTTCCATCTTTTTCACTAATTTCTGTATTGCGGTCCGGCAAGGTGCTTCAAGACGACCGAAAGATGTTTTAGTTTTATGAACCGTCTCTGCTATGTTTTCGCCATATTTTTAATGAATTTTAAAACGTTCCAGCGTCCATCGTATTATTTGCTGGATCTACATCCATTTAATAGTTTATTGTATTTCATTTTAAAATTTGTATTAATTGTACATATCTCTTATCACATTCAGCCTCTTCTGGACGATAGGTTTTCTTTGCGCTCTCGCCATGATGATCTATGTAATTCAAATGCTAGCTACACGCTACAACAAACAACAATTCAAGACGGTGATCAACTCCACGAATTATCCAATTTATCGTATAGTTTTTCCTGAGATATATCTCTGCAATGACAATCGTTTGAATTGGGCGCGTTTCGCAGCGGCAAAAGAAAACTTTCTGCGGCCCGAGCACCACAACACGGAATTGGAGCAGTTATTTACCGAGGTCGTTGCACTCTATGATACTTTTAGTTTCGGCACATTCGATCGATTTAAAAATCTCAGCACTCGGCCGTTAAAAGATTTGGATTACGTAAATTTCACATCCGTTGCACAGTTCATGTCGTGGCGTTGCGACGAGTTGCTCAAAAATTGCGTGTGGCAACATCGGCCAATGAATTGTTGCGATATATTTATGGCACGCCGATCATTATTTGGCTTCTGTATGGCCTTTAATACCTTGGAAACGGCGGAGGCGAAATTAAGGCAAAAGTTTGACGATAAATGGCCGTGGCATGTCGCGAAAAATGGAGCGTATAATGGGCTAAACGTACAAGTGCGGATAAACGAACGATTACAATCACCCTTTTCGCAAAACCAGAAGGGTATTATGGTGAGTACGTGAAAGAGCCGAGAGAAACCAAAATTAACGGGGGAGAGGCTGGTTTTACGCTCAGAATACATTTTTTTTCATCTTATCACTTGCAGTTCATGATCATGGAGCCTGGCGTGTGGTTCAGCTATCCGAATAAAGTGAAGTTGAGCGATAAATTATATGTGCGGATGTATGCAAAACTAAGTTTTTATGATCAAACAACACAACGAATACCTTCGCGAGTTCGCAATTGTGTTTTCGATGTAAGTGAAATGCAATTAAAAATAAGTAAACTTAAAATGTTATTGAGTTTTGAGGAAGCATATGTTGGGATTAGTTTTATGCACATAATTTCAAACAATATTTTAGCATTTATCAAGTTAGTACTAAAATTTTTATCTTCCAACAGCAAGAGCGCAATAGCTTAGATTTCAAAACTCTTCTCAATCACGATTATAAGTTCGAAAACTGTCAGGCTGAGTGCCTACAGGAGTATACAATGAGATTTTGCAATTGCACTATGGACATATTCTTTCCACCGAGTCAATATCCGCCCTGCAAATTGTCCGACATGCCGTGTTTAGCGAAATACAACAGTAAGTTATTGTAGATAAAATAAATTTATGTATTTTAGTGAAACTATCAAAGCTTCATGACTTCAGATCGGCTTCTACATTTCGAGCAGAGCGATGAGAGAGAATACATCCCGCTAGACGTGCAGGAGCTCGGTATGACCTGCAATTGCTACCTCAACTGTCTCTCTCTGGCCTATTTTATTGACATACGAACCTTTTTCTTGCCCGATGTCACACAGGAACCGAATAACTCCTTTGTCAATATTGACTTTCATTTTCAATACGATACAATTGTGGTGTTTCGAACGACTGTAGTTTATACTTGGGTGGATTTATTGGGTAAGTGACCAGAAGAAATTTGTCGATGAGCTTTGTTATAAGAGCAATTTTGATTTAAAAAAATATACAAATATTTTATGAATAAATATACAAATATTTTTCAATTTCACAGTTAACTTCGGCAATGCCACCGCACTCTTTCTCGGCTGCTCCCTTATAAGTGCCGTTGAATTAGTTTACTATTTTTGCATTTACTTCCCGCAACGATTATGGAGAGTAAATAGTAAAGTTAAGACACCCTTAAAGAGGATATCCTACAATTATGATGGCAAGCTGCTGGAAAAATGGATGATGAAATTATTGGAAAAAATACTCTAAGTAAAGAAACTAAAATAGACAAAGAAAAACGTAGGATCGAGATTGGAATTAGTGATTCATAAAATTGCTTTTTATTTTTATTTTATTTAATAAAGTTTCATAATATTTTATTTTATTATATTTTATTTTATTTTATTGTTTACTATTTTAGTTTATTTTAATCGTATTTAATTTTTTTTAATACTGTTTTATTTTATTTTACTCTATTTTCTTTAATTTTTTTTTTTTAATTTTATTTTATATTATTTCATTTTGCTTTGTTTTCTTATATTTAATATTACTTTATTTTTTTTATATTACTTATTTTGTATTATTTTCTTTCTTTCTCTTTGTATTGTGCAATATTTTTTTTGTTTAATTTACTTTTTTTTATTTATTTTATTTTGTCTAATTTAATAACTATATATTAATTTTTTTTCATTTAATTTAATTTTTTTAGTTTTAATTTCATTTTATTATCATGTATATTTTTATTATTTAATTTTCTTTAATTTTTTTATTATACTTTATTTTATTAATTTTTTTTTTATATTTCATTTTTCTTTTTTATATTTTAGTTTATTTTATTTTATTCTATTTTGTTTTATGTTATTTTAATTAATTTTATATTATTTTATTTATTTTATTTTATTTTATTATTAAATTTTTTTTTAATTTTATTTTATTTTACTTTATTTTATTTTATTATATATATTATTTATTAGTATTACATATATTACTTAAATTTATTTAATTTTATTTTATTTTGTTTGATTTTACTTTATTTTGTATTATATTATCATGTTCAATTTTTTATTACTTTTTTTATTTATTTTAATTTATTTTGAAATTTTGCATTTATTTTATACTGTTTTAGTTCTTAATTTTTTATTTAATTTTATATTATTTTGCTTTAATTTATTATATTTAATTTTATAGTTTTTAGAAATTTAGCATTTTGCTTAAATATTTTAATTTTATTATTTTCGTTTTTCTTATCTTTTTATTTTATTTCATTTTTTTATATAAATTTTTTTTTTACCTCAATCTGCAGTCTGGCTTGTCGTGTAACTTTTACTTGTAGGGAGTGATTTGTTTTTGTTCTATTTTTTGTTGTAGTCACAATTACAGCTGTCATTTTCACGGTCGACTGCAACGTGAATGAGGTGGTTTTCCTGCGGCAAAAGGCGGCACATCATGGTCATTGTCATTGTCACTAACTTTGTTTTTAGAGGAAGCAACTTCAAGACTTTACGCTGGATGAAAGGCACATTCTTTTCAGCTACACATTTTCCCTTGCGGAATTTAGTTTTTGCTTCAAAGCTTTTTTCGCTTTCTTTTGTTGCCGTCTCGAGTGTTATGATGACAACATTTCTTTCTTTCTTATTCGATCAGTTTTTTGTTTCCTTTTGTTTTTTCTTCCACATAGTATTTTTTTGTATTCTTTGATTTGGTTTGTTAAGCTTTGCTATTCTACTCTCACTACTTTTCTGTTTTACCACAATCGTAGCACTGTTTTTTTGGTCGGGAATTGAGCAGTTGTTACTGACTGTTGTTTAACCGAAGAAAGGTTTTACGAGCGAAACTACTTATGTATTTAGTTGCGAAAAGAATTATGTAAAATGTTTAAAAATGTATATAATGGCAGAGAGGAGTTAACGCAAATAAAAATAAATATTAAAAGGAAAATAGAAGCGTTTACAGCACTTCCACTAGCGAGTATGTTTGAAATAGTTTGAAAACTTTACGGTCTTTTTATCATTTTTGGACCATTGAACTCTTGGGTTCTAATTTTCTATTTCCACTCACTTTCATTTTGATTACTTCCTTTAATTAAAGTCCAAAAAGATTTGTAATTTTTTCGAAAAAAAAATTGAATTGCAGTAAAACAAACACAGTATAGACAAGAAAAGGAGGACAAAGGGAAAAAAATAAAAATTAAAAATAAATATTTTGCCATAAATATATAAAATACCTTTAAAATTCATAACGAAGCGTTAGCATATCCAGGTGATCCAATTCAACTACCTTGTGCTGGGCAGAAGGCATTGATACCAATTTTAAGGAGTATTTCTTAGCACAGGGTATACTAAACGTTGGGAAAGCAGTGAAATTTTATTAATGTAGTAAAAATGTGGATAGCGGACAATTCGAATTAATGTTGCCGAAATGGCGAGCAGTCAATATAGTTTTTTTACAGCGAGACAGTTGTAGTCGCGGTTCTAAACCTCTTGTGACCGCTAGTAGTAAGCGCATATAACAACTGAATCAATCGTCCACATATTTTATATACGAAAACAGAAAAGCGTTGCCAGCCGGAAGCATGTAAAAATGTTCTAAATTATAGTCAGAAATTAACAAGGTTGGGACTCATATCCTCGACATGCCGGCCCGAGTATACCGAGTTGGAGCAACTCTCACAGCTACTGAAAAGTGAGCGCCCCGCTAAAAAAATCAAGAATTCTTCGCTGAACTGTACTGCAGCTGCTGCAGTGTGCCTAATTAAGGGTGGGTTTCATGATAGGCCTGATGGCTGTGAATCGTCCACAGAATTTTGGCGCTTCCGGTCCGACGGCATAGTTGTGCTACCATGACGCGGTTACAGCTTCCAGCTGTATTTATGAGTTTCGTCAGTCTCTTCGGTCACTCGCTTCATATCTCTAAAGGCGCAACGAAACGAGAGCAAATTCGGCTCTGGTTTAGCCCCATTCTCTACTTTTATCGTATAGTTCCTGCTTGGGTACGGATACCTGCCACACGGACATTATCACCGAGATCCGGAATGGCGCTGGACCACTCGTCTAAGCTCTCTTCCAATGAACGGCGTTTGGGAGAGTTGTATCGAGAGACCCAAAAAATACTGGTACAATTAAAATTTGGATATTGTTGCCAACGAAATTCGTAATTATCCAGGAGCAGTTTCACGAAAACTTCTTTTAATTTGGAACTAAGAGAGGGCTGAGGTAACTATAAATTTCAGCAGAAATCTGCTCCCTCGATGCCTTAAGTCTACGGAAAGCGTTAAGCTTTTCCAGAAAATCAAAATAATTCGTGCCGGGATGGACGGGCCAGAATTCCTCCTGAGTTCTGGAGACGGGGATCGTAAGACAGGGCCGAATCTTCAGGCAATCCTCAAGCTGAAAAAGAAATAAAAACCTTCTCCAACAAATAAAGAGTAAGAGGGAAAATCTTTAGTTTATGTTCGACACAGATTTATTTTGAATAAAAGGGCAGCTGTACATGTGAAGAGGAATTTATTACAACTTATTCTTACCTGATGTTGCTGCTGCTGAGGTCCCGCAAAAAAGAGGAGTTTTGGACGGCAACATCGGCCTTTTATGCCTTCCACAAAAGGTGGAAGGTGTAACGGATCATTGATTAACAGGACCCTTCCCAATAGGGATGAGTCACGTATTGTACTAGCAGCAGCGACATCTCCTGTGGTAGATTCTGGCTTTGGTGCAGGGTTGCATACTCAAACATCTAGGATGGGAGGCTCCCACTTTGCATGACGACCCCTAAATATATTTAGGGATCACGATTTGATGTCATGCACCTGGAATGTCCGGGCTCTTAAATGGCAAGGTCTGAGAAAAGCGGTGAACGCGACAAGATAGAAGAAGCCGCATTCTATTGTGCACCTAAAACGTCCCTATGAAATATTTGAAGGCGGAAGAAAAGGACTCCGAAATGTATGAGTATTAAGAGCTTGAGAAGCTGGCCAGCTGGACGACAAAGCTAATGTAGGAATCACTGTAGAAATCTATTAGCTGATGTCCCGAGCATACTTAGATTATGGAACGAACCCTTTTGCAGCCTGGTGAATGGCAATGATAGTGCGACTACCGGACATGGCATACCCAAAACTCCAATCGACGAGGATGGAAAAGATGATGCACCGCCTATAAGGATCTATAGAGCGTATTGTGTGAAAGAAAAACTCACTGCCAACAAGCTGATAGGACATGATTTCGTTAATCCACAATTGATCAGGTATAAACTATTTGTCAAACTTTGTGAGACCTAACCTGTGGGAAAAGAATCGATTCACGTGTCCTTTTCATCGAGCCGCCTTCGAGAGCACAGTAACGAACTGCCTCTATGTCGCTATATCTGAATTTGGTATTCCTGCTATACGAAGAACAAAAATTATAATAATAATAATCATTCCTGTCCTGCTATATATTGCAGAAGCGTAGACGATGTGGATATCCGATGAAGCAGCCCTGAGACCCGAGAGAAAAGTTTTGCGATCGATTTATAATTCTTTGCGTATTGGCTAGGTCGAATGCCGCCGACAAGCGAAGAGTTGTACGAGTAACACAGCGACAAGCACACACACAGATCCCGTGGAGGGGTTGACATTTCCTGCCGAGGGGCGATCTCTATTTAGCTTCATTTTTTATTTAAATTATTTTTCTATTACTTTTGGATGTAGGTCATACCCAGATTTGAACTTGAGCCTTTCGAACGGCAGTACGTAATGCTAGCCACTCGGCTACAGCGGCCACGGATCATACTGATGAATCCAAATCTTATCGGCACAAGTCCAAAAAATCTTTACAACTCTCCTATTATCGCTGCTTGTCGAGCGGCGTGAACCTTCATAGTACACAACGTGCATCAATTTTTTGCTTATTCAAATGTTCATTCCAAATCTCTGCAGCTCATCCTTTGCCAATCTGTGATCTGTCTGCTATCTGCTACAATTTAAAGCCTCGATCAGACAGTAATCATTTTTCGACTCTGAACAGTTTCTTCGGTCCCAACCGCCAGTGAGCGTCCCAGGGGTGGTTCATCCTAACAGGTCTTCCTTGTAAATAAAGGCGAAATGAATTCACTAAAAAAATAAAACTCTGGGTATACTTTCCTTTTTTACAAGGAATTTAAATCACTGAAATATCACAATTGAGAGAATTTCCAGTTTCCGTTGACATTGTGTTGCTTCATGTTCCAGGAACGAAATGTTAATGAACCTAATAAAAAAATTGTGTTATTTGTATTACTAACTTACTTACTTATGTTTTAAGCATTTTTTCTCTATAACACCCTACAGCGGCCGCAAAACCAAAGTTGAAGATGTGTTAGTGAGAGGTAAAAACTCATTGGACTTTTAACGCCATTCAACATAATAAACAATAAAGAGTGAGATAATACGTGTGAGCTGTGAGCTCACAATTGTACGATGAAATTGAGGCCACTGATTTTATACTAAGGTAAGGCTACTACTCTCTTGCCCATATCTGAAACGTTAAATATCTCGTTCATGACTGCTTTCTCTTTGGCTAGAGGACGATAACATGAAATCTCAAGAAGCTTGAATCGTCAGCACTTGTATTACATCTAATTAAGATTATAAATATGACAAATGAAGAATCCGTTTACTATGTTCACCATCTATTGATTAAAATTTGCAACTATTTTATTTGACATATAAATATATATATTTTGGAATGTTAAATTTTCGGAAAACAAAGGTTTTTGACTTCACTAATCAAGGAAAGATGAGCTTTTACACATACACGGATATTAAATTTCAGTGCTGTTTCTTAATAAGTTTGCAAAAAAGTTATAATACTGCATAGCTTTTTAGCTGTTCGATAAAGCTTTTTTAAATTCTTTTGCATTCAGACTCAGTAAAAAGCCATAGGTTTTATGAAATGAACATACAGTAATAAAAATTGCAGCTTTTGCTAAAATACAAATAACAAAACCGAAAAGTGTATAAGTGATACATAATTATACCTGTAATAAATTACATATAAAAATGAATAAATATAAATAAAATCATCTGTGTAGGAAAAATAAAATGCAAGGCAAAATACACATGCATGTAGATATGTACTCCACTTCGACCTTTGTTTCGATTTGATTAGAAATACCAAATAAAAATAAAAAAAAAATTCTTCTTATGGGTTGAATGAGATATAAAATTTGAACAAATTATAGCTATAAATTACAAATAAAAATTTAAAGCAGTTCCGCTTTTGGAGAATGGAATTCGAAAGACAACTTTATCCACCCTCATTTATGTGGCCTGACTATCTGCCAAAATGTAGATTAAAAAGTTTCCATTTTTATGGCTTACTGTTTAGCGCGACATCTTGTAAGTAAAGCACTACTGCGTAGACTTAAGGCGAAAATTAAATTTATAAATAAATCGCAAAAATACTTGAACCACTTGATTGCGTTAGTCGTTGGCATCACAGGGTGTTCAGTGTTGTAGAAGAAATATTATTTGAAATCTTCCCATCTCAGAGTTAGAACTAGACGAGCTATACAAAAAAAAAAGATACTTGTACTTAATTAATTGATATTTCTTGAGCAGCTCTTCATCGTAGTCAACCTGGTTCGATGATATATCTGCCGTAATAATGCATTCACACATTTTATTTATACTTCAATCAGTGAAAGGCTTTGATTGCAAACAGATTAAAAAACTCAGCATCTTGATGTGATAACAACGCCATGGCTTTGAACTTTAAAAAATTTAAAACTCAGCATCTTCTACGATGAGGAACTTGTAGAGTTTGGATTTCGTTCGTCGGGAGAGGACTTTACTTTTCAATTGCCTACTCAGTCCAAAGTAGCACCTGTTGGCAAGAATGATTCTGCACTGGATTTCAAGTCTGACGTTATTATTGGTGTCAATGATGGTTCTTAGGTAGACGAAAATATCTACGACTTCAAAGTTATGACTGTCAACAGTTTCGTTTCACTTCTTTATCAGGTCTGGAGAAAGCAGAACTCACGGCGCGGTTGTTGAGGCGAATAATGTCGATAACATCAGAGTACGCCAGTAATTGTACTTTCTTATAGAATATTGTACCTTCTCTATTCAACTCTGTTATTCTCTCCAGCATCAAATTGAAGAAATGACACGACAAAGAGTCACTCTGTCTTAAACCTCGTTTGGTAACGAACGGCTCGGAGAAGTCTTTGCAATTTAGCTCCTATCGACGAAGAGGCGGTAGGTATCGATCCTTCTTTTACGGGTCTTTTCCAAAATTTGGCGCATGTTGAATATATTGTCAATGGTTGACTTATCAGGTCTGAAGTCACACTGATAAGGTAAAATCAGTTTGTTGACGGTGGCTTATGCTTTTTCTTAATACCATTGTCTTAAAAGTTAAAGGTGCTGTACAGACTATATAGACTCTTATATAACTCAAATACTTTATACGTCTTTGGTTAAGCTTCTAAGTCTATTAACACTCTCATTAGTATCAGAGAAATTTTAGGCACATTGTTCGTTCTTCTTACTAGTTCAATTCGCAGTTCACGTTTTTAGCAGTGCGAGTATATATTTATCCAAAATTTAGATACCATTATAAATATAACCTAATGAAGATCTCATCCGCTTTTTTCGAAACTGGAACTTATACAATTTATTAAAAAATCATCTCATAGAATTGTTGAATTAAAAAAGTTATCATTGAATTTACGAGGGGATAAACAAAAGTTCGGTAAGCTGACCAGAAAAAAATGAAAAAAAAGGTTTTCTCAATTTTTTCAAACAAATTTTTGAAAACTTTTGGTAAGTACTCTTCGCTGCACCGTCTGACCCTGAAATTGCATCTTACGATTTAGATCAGGTGAAGTAAACTGACAAAATTACATTTGCTGCTGAAATTTGTTGATTAGTGCTTTTTACGGGCGGGCTTGCTCCTGTTGGGCTCTATATCATGGAATGCTGCTTGTTTTTGCGGATCGTATTGTACTTATGGAACTAAGGTTCATCACCAGTAACGACGAAAATTGCTTGACTGACCATTTTCGAGTTTGTTCAGGAAAAATTGAGCAAAATGCACTAAAGCCTTTTTTGGGTCTCATTTAAAATTTGTGTATACTGTGTGATTACTTAAGATATCATGGCATTCAGGCACAATTCAATAGAAATCATCATTTCTTGTGCCAATCGTGGGTCTTCGTAAATTTTACAAGGGCTAAAGTGACGTCATCAGTGGAAGATTTTAGTTGACCTTCTAGACTAGTCCTCTACGGAAAAATTTTTAGCCTGAAATCTTCGGAACAACGTAGGAATAGTCTTTGAAAAAGGTGCTGTAAGCCGAAACCGAAGAGAATCACACGGCGGACTTCGAAATTTGCGTTGGTGAAGGAATTTCATCTTCAGTTATCTAGCGTTAACCCCTCGTATAGGTCGCATAGGTCATGTTTTTTCAGGTCCAATTACTCAATTAACTCACCTAGAAGCAACTTCGTCTATCAGGAGCTTTTTTATTCGCAAACTTCAATTAACACCCCAGTCATTTCTCGTGACATCAGTATAAATCTTTAAAGAGCTCCTTTAGTTATGGACTGAATTTGATTCCTACATGCTTTCTTAAATATTGCGTCGAAAACTTTTGCCAGCCTTTACAGCATGACTAAAACAAATTATTTTTTCCTTGTCATGGAAGAGATCGTATATAATTCCGCTGCATACGAATGGCGGTAGATCTTCGATTGAAAATTATAGGGGAATCGCAAAGGTATTAACATTTCCATATTTCCATTAATTTCCCATTCCCAGTATGAATTTCGCTGAGCGAAATATACTGTTACTAACTTTCTTGAATTTGTTACTCATGTTTCAAATGGATTTAGGGAACACACGGACATCGATGTTATATATATATACCGACTTATACTTGTTAAGAAACTAGATCTTTTGGGATTTCAACCAAATCTTCTCCAATGAATATCATCGTAACAGAAAAAGTTTTATTTAAAGATTCCTTCTCGAATATAATTAATATATTTGTTGCGGCAGCAAATAAACGTTCGAAAGAATATCAACTTAAACGAGTATTACAAACAAGCGGTTTATTGAGTTTTTACATTCAAATCAACAGCACAGTTTTAATATCTAAAATCAAATTATTTTAAATAAAGAACTATTTTAACAATTCAAAAGACTTACTCTTCGTTTTTCTTTCTTCAAACGTTCTGTACAAACTAAATTTAAAATGAAGTATATGAATGCATATATGAACGCTTCGTTAAAATTTGAAACTTTTAACGAAATAAATTAAAGTGATACCATATTTAAAAAATTCAGTAATGTTTTAAAGTAAATGAAGGTTAAGAACATAAATGTAAAATTGAATAAATGAAAATCTTAAGTTTAATCAGCAACAATATTCCTCAGGCGTTCTACAAGGCAGCCAGCTGGTCCGGGTTCAGTTCTTGTTATTTTTTAATGATTTGAAGACAGAATTTTCAAAATTTTATCATATACCGATGAGGTAAGGCTTTTTAAATCATATAACTCAATTAACGAAAGGCGTTCTTTACAAACCGATTTAAATAATTTAGTAAGTTGATATAGCAATGATATGAATCTTAATCTTAAAGCAATGGTATTTTTACGCAAATATTTTAAATACAAATATTATATATTCTATAGCAAATATGAAATTTATTTGATTTGGGTGTAACAATGGACACTTAACTTAATTTTTATCTTCATATTCATACTACTTTGTTGAAAGCTAATGCGGCCATTAGTTTTATGAAGCGATGATCAAAAGCATCAGAATACTTTTTAAACCGGGCTCAGTAGAATCCTAAGTACATATAACGTCCATTCTGATAAAATTGGGCCCGTTCAAAAACATTTTTTATTGTTTGCTTTGCGTCATTTCCATTGAGATTCTCGCCAAAATATTTTACCAAATACTAGTCGCTTAAAACTTGGAAATCCAGTCACACTTTCTAGCCGTTGCGAAGTGCTAAGGGTGATTTTTTAGTAAAACCACTAAATCGACTGATTTACAGCTCATTTCTTTCGGTGAAGTAAATTTTAATATTCTTATACGATTATCAACACGGTTTAGCCCATTATTTTTAAAATCTATTAAACCAAATTACACTTAGCAACATTACTAAAATCGTACCAGCCTGCAAAAAAAAACCGCTCCTGCTATCGGAAAAGCCCCGAATAAACTGAATTGGTGCAAAAACCATGAAAAGTGGAAAGCTGAAGATTTTTAACAAATCATCTTTTCAGATAAATCAAAGATCAACTTGATGGGAGTACACGATGGCGCCAGAGTGAGGCGCACACAAGGTGAACGTTACAGCGGATAATGTATATTATGTACGGTGAAGCATTCCCCGTACGAGTATATCATGGTATCGTATAACAAAATATGGAGTTTGTTCAATTTTGATATTAAAAGGAACTGTAAATGCAGCAGCGTACAAAGAAATTGTCATATATTCGTTGCACCCACAATTGAAGGCATGTCACAACACTCTTAGAATGCAATTTTTCAGCACGATTCCACACCCCATCATCAGACAGCTTCTGTAATTTATGCATACTTTTTTCGATTTTCTAATACCTTAACTCTTTTCTTCTTCAAACATTAAAGTTTTAAAAGTTGAGTTGGGAGTAAATTTGC